TAAATGGCATGGTAACACCGCCTGCTCTATCGGTATACAGTGGCGGAGTACCTTCTTCTTTTCATTTAAGAGTTTCCTCTTGTCGGTGCAACTAATTCATGCATCTTCCTCCAGCCAGCTCTATCCCAGGCCATATCCTTTATCTCCCTATACGACATGACGCCTAGTGTTTCCTTTATCTGTCCCATGTAGTTAATCCTCGGTCTTCCTCTTCCTCTTTTGCCCTCTATCTTTCCTTCTACTATGCTCTTAAAAAAATCGTCATGTCGTATAAGGTGGCCCAGCATTTTGCCTCTTCTATTCTCTATTATTTCAACCAATGTTCTCTTCTCGTTCACTCTTTTTAGTACTTTCTCGTTCGTTAGTTTTTCTGTCCGGCGGAGTACCTACCAGTAATAAAATTTATCTTATCTTATTTTCGCATATGGGGTCAGCTAAGCCGTTGCACGTCGACCCATATGGATCTTTTGTGCTTCCCCCTGCCTTATACCATCATTTCATTGATCCTATGTGTTACTCTAACGATATCCCGCGGTTTAAGATATCCTGTAGTCCCCTGGCTCTGGATAAGCCGTTCCCAGTAGACTCATACGCATACTTGCCATACGCATACTTGTGCAACTGCGACATCAAGTGTTCCATGGATTCCAATTTCTCCCCGCACAGTCTGCACAGTGTGTCCGAAGATAGACCCATCTTGTGTAGTATATGCCTTATTGGCATATGTCCAGTTAGGGCACCCATAATGAGTCTTGCCTGTTATCTGCCACCGCTGTAGATGAGTTTATCCCATCCCTCGACATTGTCATTTAAGAACTTTTTAGAATGTCTAAGGCCCTTCAAAGTCCTAGTAATAAAATTTACTATTATTATTTAGTACTAAAATTTAAGTCCAGATGATTTAAGGATTTTTTTTTATACAACTTAGAATGGCAAACAAGCTGACGGCCTAACTGATGGAAAGTGGAACCGTCGCCTATAGACATGAGCAGTACCATGGACATAACAGAATATACTGTTTCGCCCATAATACCCCCCATGTGTTGCCATTCCTAAGGACTCAGGTGTTATTCCTCTGTACCCAGTAAATTCACGCCATATTCCACCCTTTAAACCGAAACACAGCCATGCAAACACAACTGCTTTACGATTGAAACACGAATGGGACAGAGGTACCCAAGCAATCGACTTTTGTACAAAGTCTCCCTCTGGTATCAGACATGTCTTTGCATAGCTGAAAGCTTAGCTCGTATCCATTAAACAATTCTGGGATGGGCATGAGCCACCATGCCTCCGTTTAAATAAGCCTATGCTGGACAGCTGTGTAAAATGTATCTAAATAAAACGAAATTAAAAATTTTAAGTAACACCCATGCTGATGACCTTGAAACGCCGGTACAGATCTTTATAAACTGTAGCTAAAAACCGTCTTAATCACATTAGCTTTCAAACAGAAAACCTTATCATAATCGGTCCATTCGTTTAGGTGCTACGATGTCACAGACATATCAAACAGATACGTCAAACTTATAGTACCCCTCATTTTACAACGGAGATTTTTTTATATGGATGATAATGGAATTGTAACCCCGCCCGCGCTATCGGTATACACCTGCGGGGCACCAGTGAGGGATGATAGGTGAGGATGAGGTAGGTCAGTTAGCCCATCGTGACGAATTCAACAAGAATTGCTCACGATGGTTTCCAGGGAGTACCACGTGCAGGTGGACCTAGTAAGGCATATTGCTAGCAATGGGGATGTCGAACTCCATTGCTAGCCACGATCGATCGGCGCTACAATCGATCGATTATTCGATTCTTAACCGAATGTCCACACACCTCGCGGATATGAAGCGATTACATTATTATTAAGTTGGAGGGCAGTTAGTGAACTCGTCCTTGCACTCGGCTTGAGATCACGTACCGTCGCGAATCAAGAGCATATAACCGAACAGTGAACTAGGAGATTTTCATATTAAAGATCAAATATTGTATATTTAAAGATATTTGTGTAAGACTACCAATCAAGAATCTATAATAGCATCCAGTCAAAGGTGGGAAGCAGTGCGGCGCATGAGATTCCTTCAAGTAAGTGCACGTATTTTCTTAAATATTGTAATCGCTTCATCCTCATTATCAGAAATAAGGACAAACGTATTTCCACCGCTTAACGGTGTCCCTACAATACATTTATTACATTACGAAATAGTTTTTCTGCTCTTAGTCTGTTTATTTACAGTGGAACCATGTGGAGGTGGAGAAATAATAAAAATATCATTCACTGTGAAATACAACAAATCTATGCTAAAATATAAAAAAAAAAATCTGTTATAAATCTTCATTATGTTGCCAAAATCGCAAAATTGCAACTTATTCCATCAAACATCGCCAATAAGTCGCTATAATGAGCAATTGAAAAGAAAAATGCGATAGTGCGAATAATATTTATTACCTGTCAACCATTAAACGTAACGTCTCCAAACATTCTCTGTTCCAAACTCAAATTAGCCGTTTAAATTGCTTTCCTGACGTCCGGCGCATATATAAAGCGCCATATACACGCGCCAGAGGTGAGCACTGATGTCTCATTTTCTAAATTTGTTACGAAAAGATAAATCTTGCTGCCGTTTTGAGTCTCGTTAGCTAAATCTCTCTCCCCCGTAATCATTCACTGGTTCGGAGAAAAAAAAAAAACTTTAGAACATGAAAAGAACTGTCTCTTGACTAAAATTTAGTTACTGGTTTGAGCTCATTAAAAAGCTGTAAAATTCTATTACGAGAGAACGGATGGGAGTGTATCCGAACAAAACACATTTATTTTTCAGCTTCGAAATTTGAATCGTTTGAGTTTATACTCTATATTTAAAGTGATTAGGGCGTTAATATATAGATTGGCAGTAATTTAAAAGAAAATTATTTTTGTTTTTTTTTCTACACAATGGCGGGCAACAAAGACATTGCATGCTGACAAGTGACGATAAATTGACATTAATTGCTTTACCACTGTCAAAGTGGTTTGTGAGCTTGTTTTTTGTACAGAAGGAGTTTATTCCAGTCGCTGTGGTCGCTAATTAATTTATTCGCAACATTATTAAGGTTGTCTTGATATATTGTTAATTGATTTTAGTTTCACAGACACCGTCTTTTTTTAATTAAAAAATAAATAATAACTAATTGAAAATTGCTAATCAATCAATAAATATTATGATTATTACACTAAAAAAAATGTTTACGACTGTAATCCTCAATGAGGTAGTCAGTGGGACTCATTGTCTGTTGCCATTATTATTATTATTTCAGCCGTTAATTGTCCACTGCTGGACATAAGCCTTCCCCTAAGGGAAGTTTTGCCAGTAGTTGCCACGCTTGGTAGGAAGGTTGGCAACCGCAGTTAGGCTATGGAGAGGTTTTAAGAAGGACGTTGTTGTCCATCCCTCGACTGTTAAATTCCCTTAGTCGCCGCTTACGACACCCATGGAAAAGGAAAGGGTGGCCCATTCTATGCCGGAACTACACGGCTTGTATATAAAAAGTTTATGCAAATTAAATCAGCTTTTTAAGCTTGATTGAGTAACAAATATCTAAAAATCTAAAAAAGTATTACTGATACCAATATTTTATCTATTACAGTATTAAGTACGTACAAATTATGATGTATACTAAACTTACTATATGTATATGATATGATATGCTATATAAAAGAAACCATTAGTTTATTGTGAAATGAAAATAGCTACAAAACTGTCATAACTCAGACGGCGACGAAATATTTTTTATGGCAGCTCTAAAACGTTTTCAAAACACTAAAACTTGACACTCGCACTCATTATAACATTATAACTGAAATACAACCCGTTCCAACACCGGTGTATCCTTGGTGAGCATCTTTAATGGTCCCGGAATATATAATAAATTGCTCGAACATTAATTCCGTCCAACAAACATAATAATTCATTCGTAAAAACTAAAATCAGAGAAGTTTCAACTTTATTACCTTTGTCGGATCGTTTCTACGAGTTTAAAAAAAAATAAAAGTCATTACTTTCGCGGGCTCATTAGAGCGCTCGCGGGTTGTTAAACGGCGCTGGCGTCGCATGATATCCAAGATGGCGGGGTGTCGGTAGTCGAATGACACGTTGATATATTGCCACTAATTACTCACACGGAGAGGTGTTTATTGAAAATAGCTGTTAGGTGACGACGTATCGTGTCCGCTTCAATTTTGTACGGCGCTAAAGTTCGCCAAGAATGGTTTCCGCGTCGGCCAATTGTTTCATTCAAATGTGCGATAGTCTAAGACGGTAGTCAATTGTGATAATTCTGGACTATTAAAAATTTTAATCGTCTTAATGTAAAACAGTAAAAAATGTGGCCATCGCTACTACTGTGGATACAGGAACATTTATTTATTTTGCTAGAAACTACAATATAAAATTTTTGTCAGTTATTGTATTGATGTATATATGTATGTATTCGAATAGTATTCTGGAAGTCTGGAATTTAAATTATTAAATTTTAATTTATTTAATGACAAAATTGCAAAGAAATATTCCAGGCTCATTTACTAAAAAGTTCAAATTGTAATTAATTTTTATAAAGTTAAACTTTCGGATTATTTACACATATTTAAATACATTCTCGAGATTAATGGCGATGAAAACTTTTTGCAGGTAAATAATATCAAAATACAAGTACCTGCTTCTTTATTGTCGACGCTTCGACGTGGATTGTACCACGTCGTGATCACGACATTTTTCATGGCGTAAAGTCCAGATAGTAAATTTAATTATTCAAATTGTAACTAGTAGAATCGAAATTTATGATATCCGAACATAATGTTTATATAGTAATATAAAGTAATGAGAGAAATAACTTTATTATAGTTTATGTAGCTGTGGGCATCATTTCAAACAATTCCTTGGACCACAATCCGTTATTCAAACGGACGCCTGTAGAAGTTTTAAAAACATTTTTTTTTTTATTTTCCTCTTACTATCCAGGTCCATGTTCCTCTAGAGGCAAGCGAGCACGCACGGCATTCAGCGCGCAGCAAATCAAGAGTTTAGAGGCTGAATTTGAGAAGAATAGATACCTATCTGTGGCGGCTCGAGGGCGGCTGGCCAGACAACTGCGACTCACCGAGACACAGGTATCAACGTCAAATAACAATTAAAGATTGTGTCCCACAAAAATCCATGGGAGGTATCATGGGTCAAACAATATACTCCCATATGTCCATAGTACTGCTCATGTCTATAGGCGACGATTACTACTTCTCATCAGCTTGTTTGCCATTCTAAGTTCCATAAAAAAATTAGTCTTCAATTGTGACAAAACCAGTTATTTTGATTTAAAAACTAAACTATTGAACAGATTTTAATAAAATTTCTATGCTACCAGTCTGTAAGGGTTTACAGGTAAAAAAGATTTTTCCAAATCGGTTTACAACAAATGGAGTTATGAAGTAAATAACATAAAATAATACAGCCGAATCGAAAAACTCCTTCCGTTAAAGTCGGCCGGAAAAAAACATATTTTGGAGTTCCTATAGATATAATGATATATATTTTCGTTAAACTAACTTAGAATGGCAATAAAGGCGACGGTCCTCTTGATGGTAAGCAGTTACCGTCTTATATAAACGTAAATAGCACCATGAACCACACTCTCAGTATCCTCTGTGACACCCATGATACCCTCACACGCTGTCATTCTTGAGAACTATGGTCTTACGTGCTCTTTATCCTGTAATTTTATATATTCCGTATTTTTTATAATCACATTAATCGAATTTTTATTAAACTAATTTTCTTTATATACAGATTAAAATATGGTTCCAAAATCGCCGAACAAAATGGAAACGGAAATACACCAACGATGTAGAACTTCTCGCACAACAGTATTATAGCAGTTTAGGAATTGTCGCACCACGACCTATGTTTGTCGGGGATAGATTGTGGATATTCAACTATCCTAACAGAGTGCCGCCCACTCAGCAACATCAATGGATGAAATCGCTTAACAATATAGCGAATTTGAATACACACAATCAAATTGTCGAAAGAAACATATTTAGGCCGATACCGAAACCGGAAGTGTCTCCATTTTTAATCCCACCATCGACAAGTTATCCGAGCGAAAGAGTTTTCATGAACAACTTGAATTTGGCGGGAAACGTAAACGTCAAAATTCCCGCGCAAAATAGACTAGTGCCAAGGGAGGTTTACAGTAATATGGCAACTGCACAGAAGACAATGGACGTATATAAAAATAACATTTTAAGCCACAGCAGTCCACCCCAGGAGCCGAATGTAGATCATTTAAGAAGACTGGAAGAAAATTTTAGTATATAGTTTTATTACGACTTCGTTAATTCACCTCTAACTACTAGCCTGTTTCAACAAAATCTAATGAAAAGTTATAACGGTATAAGAGTTTTGTTAAAATTATCAGAAAAAAATACTCAATCTAGATCTAAATAGAATCAGAGACATTAAATATATTATCTTATTATATTTATTTCGTTAAGTTCTAATGAAACAAACTACTTTTAAATACTAGCCAAAGAAAATATAATTTCCTATAAAGATTGACTAGCTACCTATATTTAATTCAATATATATGTACTTAAGATTTAAGTAGGACGGTATTGAATATATTTGTTTTGTCTTGTAATTAAAAAAAAAAAAAATAATAGATATAAATAAATAATTGTATTATACTGTTTTTTATTGACCTTTTTTACGTCGCATTAGCATACATACATACATATCTGTCACGCCTGTCTCCCATTAGGGTAGGCAGAAACAATGGAATGCCAAATGCTTCGATTGTTTCAAACAAACCTCTTTCGCTTCTTCCACATTCATTCATTAGCAATAATAACAAAATTCACTGTATTCATAAAATTGAACTATTTTCCCTAAAGCCCCCATATTCAGTCATTATAATTCTTAAATTATTTATTTATTTACTCTTTATTGCACCTCATAAAGAATAACACAAAAACTATGGGGGAAAAGGGATTGTTAGTAATGGAAACTGAGAATCCTATTGCTAGCAATATACCCAACCAGGTCGACCTCCTCGCGGTTCCCCCTGGAAACTATCATGGTTAATTCCTGATGAATTCATCATGATGGGCTAACTGGCCTGTTTTCATTCTCATCTATCACCCTTCACTGGTGCTCCGCCAGCGTATCCCGTTAGCGCAGGCGGGGTTACCACACCATTTTCACCCATAAAAAAAAAAAAAACTATATTACAGTTATGAAGTACAAAAGCGGTCTTATCGCTAAAGCAAGCTCTTCCAGACGACCTTTGGGTAGAGGAGGAAAAAAGAACTATATTTAATAACTAATCTGTACCATGTACTAATCTGTACCAAATAAATATAAGTAAATAATAAAAAATACATAACAGTATATCCAATAAAAAAAACTTTTTTAAAAGGGACGGGAAAGGAAAGGGTAGTAGGCCACCCCTACAATGCCACGACCACACGGTCATTTATTTATAACTTTATAAATGTAAGTTTGTAAAGTTGTTTATTGAACAAATACAAAGTTGTTTGAAAGTTTATTACTCATTAACACATTACAAGATAATAATCAAATTCGAGTCATATTTATTGACAAAATATCGCGTACATATTTAAAAAAAAATAGTTTTTAAATCTATTTATCTATAGATAAAATAGTCGATATGGCTTGGGTACCTCTGTCCCATTCGTGTTTCAACCGTGAAGAATTGTGTATCGGTTTGAAGGGTAGGATATGGCGTGAATTTACTGGGTACAGAGAAATAACACCCGAGTCCTCAGGAATGGCAACGCATGGGGGGTATCATGGGCGAAACAGTATACTCTGTTATGTCCATGGTACTGCTCATGTCTATAGGCGACGGTTACCACTTTCCATCAAGTGGGCCGTCAGCTTGTTTGCAATTCTAAGTTGTATAAAAAAAAATTATATAAAATATATTTTAATACGTAATTTATTATTAATTGATTATAAATCAGTATCGGTATACAAAATGTGATTTTTTAATTTTATTGGCGACCGGCCGATGCAAACTCTTTAGACGGTATTATACTTTTTTATATATATATACATTTACTTTTAGAATGTTCTTATTATTTGTTATTTCAATTTTATATTTTTTGACATATACATCATATTGTTCTGTTCCTTGCTTGCTGTTTAATACATTTTTTTTCGCTACTAAATTCCGTGTCTACATCATTTCATCACCTCATCACAGTCCACCGCTCCGTAATAATTTTTTTTCTGTTAAGTCGTATTGTCATTATTATGCTTGGAATCAGTAAGAGTTATTCTCAAGCTCAATAACTTTGTTATTAATATGTGATAATAAATATGAAGTAAAGTAAATGTCTGATATGATAAAACAGTGTCACAGTTTTATCTGTGTCTGATATGTCTTTTATTATTTAAAAATATTAAATAAGCATCAAATTGTGTAGTGTAAACCAGAGAAATTTGGGGGGAAAGGGATTGTTAGTAATGGGGACTGAGAATCCCATTGCTAGCAATATACCCAACCAGGTCGACCTCCACGCGGTTCCCCTTGGAAACTATCATGGTTAATTCCTGATGAATTCATCATGATAGGCTAACTGGTCTGTTTTCATTCTCATCTATCACCCTTCACTGGTGCTCCGCCAGCGTATCCCGTTAGCGCAGGTAGGGCTACCATACCATTTTTATCCATCAAAAAAACAGTTCATTGCTGAATATGGGCCTCCCCCATAAGAGGGGTATTGCCAGTAGTTGCCACTTTTGGCAGGGTGGCTAGCAATCGCAGTTAACCTTTGTTAATGTTTTAAGAGGAACGCTGCTGCTAAAAGTAATTGTAAATGTTTATAATAATAAAAAAAATTGAGAGACATTCTTTTTATTTTATCTTCAAGGACTGCGGTCACAACGCCACGTACCAGGTGATAAAAAACTTCACGAATGCCGACCCCACGATCACAGTGGTGCGGCAGCCGGACCTCTCGCTACCATACCATTTTCACCCATCAAAAAAAAAACCAAAGAAATTTCTGTGGTTAGCCATTTTGTAACTTGGCTAAATAGTTATCAAGTTGCTCTGATTATTAATATATTAATAAACACATAAGGTGAGCCGTATGCTCGTGTGCCCCATGTGTTATAAAAAAAATATACACTATGAAGTTCATTCATTCAATGACACGTATTTAATATAGATCGAAGTGGCGTTAAATACATTTATTTGGATTTTTGTCTTAGATTACGCAATATAATAAGTAAGAACAATGGCAGCGACTAAGAACTTTTTTTTATTTAGGTATTTAAAAGAGTTTAAAAAAACCACTCAGAAAGCGACAGTGCCCCACTCTCCCCGGAGGGAGCGAACGATCATCGAGGGCTGATGGTGAACCACCATCGCCCGCCTCACGCTCAGGGTACCGCGCCACGTCTCGTCATCGTGGCTTGTGTGCCCTCACATATTGCGAGTTTCTGGGTGAAGAGCTTACTATAGAAATGATCCTATGAAGTAAGGTCTTGCCGATACTCATCGACGGCAGGGAGGTCATTCTTCGCGAGAGAATCTTTATAGCGCGCTGTAGAATTCGTGTAGAGACATCTAGTGATAAATGTAGGAATCTCAGAGCGCCCAACTAGTACACGTAGTATTTACTTACTAGGTGAGCACGTAATAAAGCATTTAACTCAATGAAGCATTCGTAGCACAGAAGCACAAATTTCTAATAATGTATTTCGTAAATAATCCGACAATATATATAAAAATGTTACAAATATTGCTCATGTTGCCACAGTAGTAATAATAGTTAGAAGGCATAGGTAAAAAATTTATGTAATCTAATATATAAAATTCTCGTGTCGCGGTGTTTGTCACCAAACTCCTCCGAAACGACTTTATCGATTTTTATGAAATTTTGTGTGCATATCGAGTAGGTCTGAGAATCGGCCAACATCTATTTTTTATACCCCTCAATGATAAGGGTGACCCACCCCTAAAAATTTTTTTTTATTTTTTTGACATTTTTTTTTATTTTTATTTAAATATCATAGCATTGAAAAATACATACAACTTTAAATTTTCACCCTTTTACGATCAACCCATGTTTTTTAAGCGCGATTTTTATATTCCGCAATAGGGTTTCAAGATGGCAATCGAATATAATTTTCATGTATAGTTTATAATACAATTTGCTTTAATTATATCTTTTTTTTTAATTTAAATTAATCATCAAGCCTCACCGGTCGATAATTAATCAACTACCAATCGATCAGTTACATTACGGAGTAGGGATGAGGACGAAGCCGACCTCCTTTTCTATTTTCTAGAAATTATGTATTTGGCAAAACAACGTTTGCGGGGTCAGCTAGTCTAATATATAAAATACTCGTGTCGCGGTGTTTGTTACCAAACTCCTCCGAAACGACTATCGATTTTTATGAAATTTTGTGTGCATATCGAGTACACAAAATTTATTTTTCATATCTATTTCATATTTTTTAACATCTATTTTTCATACCCCTCAATCATTAGGGTGACCCATCCATATTTTATTTTTTTTATTTTTTTGACAACATTTTTTAGTTTAATTTTGTTATGATTTAGCATTGAAAAATATATACAAATTCAAATTTTCACGCTTTTACGATCAACCCCTGTTTTTTAATCGCGATTTTTATATGCCGCAATAGGGTTGCAAGGTGGCAATCGAATATAACAATTGTAGTACAAGAAATTATCATTCATAATTCTCGAAATAAGGTATATGGTAAAACAAAGTCTGCCGAGTCAGCTAGTAATAATATAATAAGTAATATGTAATGCGTTATATTGACTGGAAGGGGTCTCTTTTAGAGATAAGCTCAGCTTTGCTTACATTCTTTATAATTATTATTGTTACTGTATGTTTTAATACAATAATAGTAAATTACTGCAGCGGCCAGCAGCCTCCTTGGTAGCCATGTTTCGAAGTATAAGGTCATTCCATTTTTAAATTACAGGACAGATATGAGTTTACATAGTAATTTATCTGGCCGCAAAACACGACAGATATGGATTTTCATACAACTTTTGCCGGCCACTGCTCGCATGTATTTGGCCAGTACGGCAATTTTGATTTATCTTGAAGAAGACTGTCAAAATAATGCTCACAATTTCCAAGCATGTTTGAGAAAAGAATATTATATGCAAATCCCAAACTGCCATTTACAATAGTAAACATAATATTATCTTACAGATAAACAAAAGCATCAGTTTTAATTTTAGTTCATCAATTATGAAGCCTTTCACATTTTTTGCATAAAACAACGCAAAATCAGAGATTTTAGGGTTCTGGGGGCCTACCATAAAATGAAATTCCGAATTTTCGGGCTCAATTTCGTGTTTTTGTTCGTACCTAAATCGACCCAGTAAATGGAGCTTAACATTTCGTTCATCATAAATCCTATCCTAATAGTCCAGAGGAACGATATTTTAATATTTTTAATAATTTTAAATGGCATGTTGTATTATGTAATTTTAACATCAAATTTCTATTTCGTTCGTCCTCGAAATTTCGGAAAATATTTCATGGTAGGCCCTCTGGTTCTAATATACATTTTGATACCTGAATTATATAGATAAACGTGTAATCTTAAAAACAGAGTTTTTAAATTGTTACTTTTCTATTTATTATGTACTTATTTCTTTCTAATTTTCAAGGCCGTAAAGTATGCTAAGAGGCAGAATTTTGGGGTCGTCGTTCATTATCAAAGAAATATAAAGTTGATATTATATCTTTATTAAAACTTGGTGATTATTCTATAAATTGAGACAATGTTATAATTTATTTTTTATTTTTAACCCAAATACCTAAGTAAATTGAACATAACTGAACCGAATTTTTTTTTTACTAAAACTTGCCAAAATCACATTATTGATTACATACATTATTAATTAAAATGATACAAGTATGTACACGTATACGTTTACTTGCGCCTGCGCAATAGTCCTCTTAATCACTAACGAGATTAAATAAATAACGAGAAAAAAAGCTTAATTATAAAGGATACATATCAAATTACCCCCATCATAGTCAGATAAATATCTCTTAACTTATTAGTATTCTCAAAACTATCAACAATGCAGGTATTATCTGGCTAATCCGTCAATAAAAGCAGAATGAACCCACTATAAAATACCATTCCATTTTAGAAAATATTCATTCGATTTTCAACTGCCGCTTCACCATTTACCCGCCAAAATATATTTTTTTATTTTTCTTTTTCAAAATGGCTGCGAAAGCAACTGTCACGTTGGGTTTAATATGTTTTTTTTATTCACTGCTAGTGACCGATTGTTCTTTTTTAAAACCAAACAATGTTCCAAGAGTCGGTAGAAGCAACGAAGCTGAAGGGCCGTTTGTTCAAGACGCGGCTGGGTATGTTATCAAAACTAATAAAAATATACCTAGAATGGGAAGAAGGAACTATGACTCGGTAAGTATTTTTTTTTTTTTTAATAGGTAATAATAGGCACTATTGTGTTGAACTGTCACTGATAAGATCGATCTAAAGTATAAGTATTGTGCCACCTTTGTAGTGCTTTGCGTAATGTTCTCTGATCACTATTCAGATAGGTACTTTTTAAAAGTTGCGCCTAAATTTATAAACACTTATTTACGTAATTCAGGGAAAAAGGGATTGCTAATAATAGGGTCTAACAACCCCATTGCTAGCTTTTTACTCTATGAGATCGCTTATAGGTTCCCCTTGAAAATCATCGTGGTTAATGCTCAATGAATTCGTCATATTGGTCAACTGATCTGTTTTCATCTTCACCCTATCATCCCTCACCGGTGCCTCGCCATGGTATACCGATAGCGCTGACGGAGTTACTATTTTATATTTACCTATTTAAAAAAAATCTACGTAACTTAAATACAATAATTTCCCATGTCACTTAAATATTTTTAAAATATTTGTTTTACATAATTATAACCGCATTTATTTCCAGGAAAATCATTACGATATCCCAAAAATATATTCTTTACCGACGGAAGCCTTTGGACAGTACGGAGGTATGATTTGATATTTTAGTAATACAATAAATAATAATAATATTGTAGTATACAATATTTTGCAAAGCAAAAAAAAAAAAATCGTGAACATATATATTCATAAACGATAAAAAATTTATTGTAATAACTATCGGTTTAATTTACGTATATTTTAGTCGATAAAACTCGCGCTCACGTCATAGCCGCTCATGACTAAGGTCCTGGAGGATTTCGAAACTAGTCGCGCTTTCACCACTAAAATACATGTAAATTAAACAAGTAGTTAATTACATTAAAATATAATTTGTACCCGTACTTACGAGACTATTAACGATAAGATTTTATGCCTAAATATTTAAATTTAGAACATTGAGTAAATTGTTTGTTTAATGTAGCACAAAGAGAAACAGTTTTTTTAATCGACACAAAATTAACATGAGGTCGATTTAAGGATTGTAAATATTAAATCCATTGCAAAAAAAGAGTGTGTGTTTTTCCCTTTTATAAGCGTTAATTAGAAATTTCAGTAGTAAATCACCTCATGAGTATACTTAATTATGTTTCAGACGATACTGCAATGAGGTATAATCAGGAACAGCTAAATCAATATGGCTACCAATTAGAAAACATGAAGAAATAGCAGTATTACACGGAAATATATGTTAAGCACAATATTGTATTACGACCCCGGCATTCTTGACTCAAGACTATTCTACTGAACTGAATTGCTAGTCACCAATTTACTTCAACTGCTTATTAAATTGCGATATTATATTTTTATTTATTCATTGATCACTGATTTTTTATTGTTTCATTTAATTCTATTTATCTAATTTCTCTGATATTATGCTTTTAACATCTCCATAATATCCTTTAAAATATTATTGCGTGAAATGAAACGTAGAAGGCAACTGTCAATGTACGTCAAATGACGATAATCCTAATAAATTGTGTTGTACGCTCAGTCGTTCTTCTATCTTTTTTTCTTTTGTTAAATAGCAATATCGCTTACTTTTTCACACGTGCTACCGTAAAACTTATTAAATGTATCGTCTTACAACATTAAATTTTCCAATATTTTCCACTTTTTGTGTGGAGCAAATTATCTTATTTATTTATATATTTAATTAAACAAAATTATCTGGGAAATTTAAATTAATAAAAATGGTGTTAACTGCGGACGTCCATTTGCCAGAGGAATCAGATTTGACCGTTCCTGAGGTCAATTTATCTGGACCAACATTGATTGCTGGATCGTTCCATTTAGGAAAATATTGTGAGCAAGCTAATAATGTGAGTACCGATTTTGTTTTTCCTTAATATTATTTCATAATATCCTTATGTATAATATTTTTATTTGTTGTTATCCAGCGAAGGAATTGATTGCATAATCAGAGCTGTATGAGGTTATGTTTTGATGCATTATTTTAAGATTTTTGTTCTTTATGTTGATTATAAACACATAATTTCATCTAGTGCCAAAAATCAACTATATTTCTTTAATTTTTTTTTTAAAACTTGTTTTTATCATAAATATAAAAACCATAAATTATTATTTACATTCTTTACATAAAAAATTAAATAGACTTTGATATTATTAAAACATTCCTAAGAGTACCTACTGACTAATACGTCCCATCTGTCAGTGTCTGATTACTCCCGATTTTTGTCTTTCTTCTAAATCATATTCTTAAAAATGATTAAAACAGTTTAAACATTTAACTTTATAACATTGGTTATAAGTAAACCTTTATTCATAGATGAGACATTATAAAATTAAATTTAATAATATATATGCTTAAGTATTTCCTTTCCTATATATATATATATATGTATGGTATGGTATATATGTATGGTATATATATATATATATATATATATATAAGTAAGATTTACATTAATTACTTTTTTGTTCATACAATCTTCCAGGAATTCATGTTATGCCGTTTTGAAGAGAAAGACCCTCGAAAATGCATCAATGAGGGTAAAGCTGTCACCGCTTGCACTATGGAGTTCTTCAGGAAGGTGAAACGGTCGTGTCTCAGTGAATTTAATCAATACGCTAACTGTATTGATAAGAGCTCCGGTGACTTTGGATTGTCTCAGTAAGTTCACTCTATATAAAAATTTTATTAAAAGAATCAAAGGGAAACTAGAAATGTCATCTCACACACATCTCACTTATTTTTTTCTAATGGATAATAATGGAAGGTGACCTCCTTTGTTATATTGGTATAGCACCAGTAAGCCATGGTTAGTGAGGATAGAAGAGGGAAACTTTGTTCAAAAGATCACTTTTCGATTGCTTGGGTACCTCTGTCCCATTCGTGTTTCAACCGTGAAGCAGTTGTGTTTGCATGGCTGTGTTTCGGTTTGAAGGGTGGGATATAGCGTGAATTTACTGGGTATAGAGGAATAACAACTGAGTCTTCAGGAATGGCAACGCATGGGGGGTATCATGGGCGAAACATTATACTCTGTTATGTCCATGGTACTTAGAATGGCAAACAAGCTGACGGCCCACCTGATGGAAAGTGGTAACCGTCGCCTATACACATGAGCACTACCATAGACATAACAGAGTATACTGTTTCGCCTATGATACTCCTCTATGCGTTGCCATTCCTGAGGACTCAGGTGTTATTCCTCTGTACCCAGTAAATTCACGCTATATCCCACCCTTCAAACTGAAACACAGCTATGCAAACACAACTGCTTCACGGTTGAAACACGATTGGGACAGAGGTACCCAAGCAATCGACTTTTGTACAGTCTCCCTCTGGTATTACATTATTAGTCATCTGGAATACATAGTCTGTGATATTTATTGTGTTATAGCAATGATGATCACTACAGGGCAGGCCATCATTTTGTTTGTTATTTTATCTTGCTTAATAAAAAATAGGCATATGTGTCGTCAGTTGATAAATAGTTATTAATAAGGGTACTAGGGTTATGGGTTATTTTTTTTAATAGGTGATAATGAAATGGTAAACCCGCCTGCGCTATCGGTATACACTGGCGGGGCACCAGTGAGGGGTGATAGGTGAGGATGAAAGCAGGTCCGTTAGCCTATCGTGATGAATTCCACTAGAATTAACCACGATAGTTTCCAGAAGGAACCACGTGGAGGTCGACCTGATTGTGGAGGTGACCATTACTAACAATCCCTTTCCTCCCAGAGTTAGGGCGTAAGGGTAATATATGGCAATATCTATATATTTTAGTTACAATATCTATGTACTGATTCAATAACGAATATGTTAAAAGTCTGTTATCCAAACTAATATTGGATAACAGACTTTTAACATATTCGAAAATAGATATCCGACCGATATTGGCTATATCCAAATTGGTGATGACCTTTATCCCGCTATTAATATCCAGAGAAACCCAATATATATATATATATATATATATATATATATTGGATCAGTATCCATATTTTTCACGCCTAGTTACCATAGACTATGGATGTCTGCAACACCAGGAATGTCCCGTATCGTGTGTGTGTTGCTAACCTTGCGGAAACCTTAATCCACTTTTGAAGTACAGAAACTAATAGTGAAGCTTTGGCTTCACACTTCTAATAAGTGTTTATTTATGCCTATAGGGGACGGTTACTACTTCGTGTCGGGTAGGGGGTGGGAGGAGAAGCGATTGTTAGTAATTGGGCTTAATTTACTAGCAATATCAGGACAATCAATTAATAAACAGGTCGACCTCCACACGGTTACCCCTGGAAACCATCGTGATTGATTATTTTTCAATTCATCACAATGGACTAATCTGAGCTACTTCATGCTCATCTATCATTCCTCACTGGTGCCCCAACAGTGTATATCGTTAACGCAGCCAGGATTACAAATCCATTATCATCCATTAAAAAGAACTACTTCTAGTCACGTGGGCTGTCAGATTGCTTGCCATTGTAATTTAAAAAGAATTTGCACCATATGAAAGTGTGATTAATGATTTTGACATCTATTTTCAGTTGCCGTAAGACTCAAAGTGTGTTTGACAAATGCGTGTTGGACAATTTAAATTTGGAACGTCCCGACTTCGGGTACTTCTGTGAAGCTCGCGTCCATGATACCAAAAGGTATGTTTTACAAAAGATTCTCAATTTTTGTTTTTTTTTTTCTGTATTCAGTCCTGTGTTTGTGCCATATACATTTTATTTCAATGGATGTCACTATTTTTTGTTAAGATTTATATTAAAAGAACTTTTAGTTATAAATCAATATAAGATCGATCTTGAAGTATCTTGAATTTAAAGTATAAAGGTGCTTGGAAGAGATCGCTCTTAGCGATAAGGCCGCCCATTTTTTTCTCAGTGTAATATTTCCTTGTAATTGTTTGTATCTATAATATGTTTACTATTGTAATCTTATGGAGGAAACAATAAAGAGTATCTATCTATCTAATCCTGAAAAGGTTTGTTACTGAATCATCACAACTGATTCTCGATTGACGAAGATAAAACTTCGTATAAACGTAAAAAAATACAGGGTGGCCCATAAGTCCGACATAGAGAAATGAAAAGCCTCCACAATTTTTAAGTTGTTTTATAAAATAACTATTATTGTTGCAGACCAAAACCCCTGCCGGAGCCCAAGGCGGAGTACCCCGATGCCACCCCAGCCTTACCCGACGACGCGGAGAGAAAGCCAGCGCGGTTTGGCTCTCGCTTCTACTGGATGACAGAGTAGACCTTCATCACGGATAAGGATGATGTCGCAAGATTAAATCGAAACATTATAATTTGCTGTCCCTGATTGATCATATATTTGAAGAAAACAGCCACCTGTTTGTCACCTCAGTGGTGTCAAAAAAAAAACAAAATGTTTTACATGCCACAAAAGTTAGAGGTCATATCTCTAAATGTATATCTAATAGTCAGTAATTTGAACCGTGCTTAATGTATCCAGTCCAGTTCCGTTTAGAAGCATAAAAGTACCCTGACAACTGTTCAGGTTTTACGAAGCAACATTTGGGAGAATTTCGGAGGCTGCGGTTACGCGTTCCAAATCACACGTTTGAAGTTTCTTCGGCATTAAAAAGACTGTATATATAGTCTGTGGTGCCTATTATAAATAAAAATATGGCATACTAATAGATTATTATGAACCTACTTGCACGTCATCCGAAAATACCATTTTTATATAAAGTAACAGATTAGTATCAGTTTTCCTGTTCCATATTATATAGCATTTAAGTGTAATTTATATATTTATAAGCGTAGTTTTTGTCTCCAACCACAATCAGGGCTATACCTATTTTTTTTTTGTCTAATATGTTACTTTACATAATCAAATAGTTATATTAATGATTTGTAGAATAAAATGTTGGATTTATTATTTGTTTTAATTATTTAAATTTCGAAATTCATTGTATGGCTACAATTTTTTTTTTTTAATGGAAAACAGTGGAATGTTATCCCAGCCGCCACTAACGGTAAATATTGGCGGGGCACCAGTGGTAGGTGATAAGTGAGGAGAAAAGCAGGTCAGTTAGTTCATCGTTAAGAATTTTACAAGAATTAACCACGATGATTTCCAGGGGGAACCGCGTGGAGGTCGATCTGATAGGGTACATTGCTAGCAATGAAGCTGTTAGACCCCATTACTAACAATCTCATTTCCCCAACACCCATACCAGTTCGATATTTACATTCATTACTAGCAGGTTCTAATTGTCTATATTATACATTGGATAATCTATTGATTAATATGTCTGTTATTGGGCTAAAATATCTAAAGATATTGTAACTACAATATCTTTATATTGGATCAGTATCCACATTGCTCATGCTTAGTTACCATAGACTATGGATGTCTACAACACCAGGTATGTCCCATATCTGTGTTTGCATGGCTGTGTTTCGGTTTGAAGGCTGGGATATGGCGTGAATTTACTGGGTACAGAGAAATAACATCTGAGTCCTCAGGATTGGCAACGCATGAAGGGTATCATGGGCAAAACAGTATACTCTGTTATGTCCATGGTACTGCTCATGTCTATAGGCGACGGTTACCACTTTCCATCAGGTGGGCCGTCAGCTTGTTTGCCATTCTAAGTTGTATAAAAATAAACAAACTGATATAAAAAAAAGAAACTAGAATTTGTATAAACCGTCGCGCCCTCATAGTCAATTGCGTCAATTTATTTGCACTTACAACGCCCGATGGATAAAATTTTAGACCCTTATTTGATGGTTAAATTCAATAATGGAATCCATACATTGGAATGCATGTTAAAATTATTTTGATTCCCGTTATCGCTTCTAAACGGCTGAAGAAATTTAGTTGAAATTGTATAACTATGAACACTTCTTGAAAAAGTCGAAGCAATGAAGAAAGAGTTTAATATAATTTTCATTAAATTGTATAAATTCTACTCCAAGGAAGTAGGAAATACATACTATATAACATTTTATTTAATTGTGATCCATAAAAAATTCTATAATTATAGTGAAACAATTATGTTGTTATGAGTGACAGTTACTTATTATGGTGTTGAGTACATTTATGTGCACACATATACATATATACTATTAATTTAAATGTAATTGGAGAAAAAACAGAAATTATACGTTATCATTCAATTGTTATAAACTCTAGCAATTTACAATATATTATATAATGAGTGAGTCGTTTGTGTTTATGCATATACCGCCATTTTTTATCACAGGAGTTTTTTTTTTATATATATACAACTTAGAATGACAAACAAGCTGACGGCCCACCTGATGTAAAGTGGTAACCGTCGCCTATAGACATGAGCAGTACCATGGACATAACAGAGTATACTGTTTCGCCCATGATACCCCCCATTCGTTGCCATTCCTGAGAACTCAGGTGTTATTCCTCTGTACCCAGTAAATTCACGCCATATCCCACCCTTCAAACCGAAACACAGCCATGCAAACACAACTGCTTCACGGTAGAAACACGAATGGGACAGAGGTACCCAAGCAATCGACTTTTATACAATGTCTCCCTCTGCACATCGCAATATGTGTGCTTCCGGCTACAATTTGAAAATATAATTAGTTTAATAGTACGTTATACTAAGTCTATGGTTAGCTATGATCTCATTTAGGTGAATTCTTTTAAACAATAAATATCTTAAACCGTAAGTTTATGAAACTATATATATGAGTGAAACGGAATGAACAACATTTGTCAATCTCAAATATGACATTGACAATAAGTAAATATTTTCCTTTAGGTACTTATAACGTAGTATTAGTGCTTGTATTTTAGCTTTTGTTTGTTTCTTCAATCCTATAAAAATAATGTGAATTAAATTTTAAAACTGTAAAAAATACAACTTAATTATTAACATATACCAAAAAAATATTAGTTTTACAATTTTAAATTAAACAATTGACTTATAGTTATCTTTAAGTGTAATACTCTACCTCTTGAAATAACCAATGTCTACCTACCTATTTATATAAACAAACATGAATTATCACAGTCATAATAGTGAATACATGGGTGATAATCGACAAATGTTCTATTCTGGCCATAATGATGAATCCGATCCGCCATCACCTGCATCCAAACTCCAACCTGTCCAAAGAGACAACATGAACAGAATGTGGATATTAAGGGAAACGTTGTATGATGATCCTGATTTGTTTCATGATTTTGATTCGTGAGTATATATTTCTTTTTATGTAATGTGGATGTGAGTACTAGATATGGGTAATATACAATATTTATATATTGAGTTCTTTTGGACGTTGATGACCATTATTGGGCCAATATGTATAGACATTGTAACTACAATATATATATTTTTTTTTATGGGTGAAAATGGTATGGTAACCCCGCCTGCGCTAATGGGATACGCTGGCAGAGCACCAGTGAAGGATGATAGATGAGAATGAAAACAGGCCAGTTCGCCCATCATGATGAATTCATCAGGAAATAACCATGATAGTTTCCAGGGGGAACTGCGAAGAGGTCGACCTGGTTGGGTATATTGCTAGCAATGGGATTCTCAGTCTCCATTACTAACAATCCATTTCCCCCCTAGATATTGCAATATATTACTTAACCTTAGTAAGTACCTAATCCTTTTTATTGGGCTGGAGGGAGGGTGAAGGAATTGCTAGTAATGGGGTCTGACCACACCATTGCTAGCAAATGTACTCCATAACATTGTGGTTAATTCGTGTGGATTCTTCACCTTTCATCTCTCTGGTGCCCCACAGTGCAACAAAAGTGCTGGCAGTATACATGCGCTCGCATATACTACTTCAATCCCAATCATTAAAAAAACCTTTTTTAAGGGGCCAGGTCCACCCATGAAAATAATATGAAATACCCCAATATTTGCTTATACAAAGTAGTGGCTAAAAAGCTAGTAGTGATTTTTTCTAATTTCAGTCCACAAGAAGACTCTCCCATAGACAACACTGCTGATATAGCACCCACCTACTCAGTTGGCTACGATTGGACAAAGCAACAATGGCAAAAAGCTGGCAACTTCCAAGGTACAATCAACCAGACTTGTCCAGCACCACAGCAGACAAAACAATTGGGCAAACAAAATAAGTTCCTAAAGAATGTGATGGTTAGTTTATCTCAACCGGTTAAATTAAGCAAGGCCGAGAGGTTAGTATTTACAGACTTTTTATTTCACTGGCCCGTGTAGTTCCAGCATAGAATAACCCTTCTTTGCATGATTTTTTTTTATTGTTGAAATAAATCAAGGTTAATCAAGGAAAAACGGTTAAAAAATAAATTTGACAGCTATATTTTTTTTCTGCAATGGACAATATGCAATATCCAGACACGATCACTTAAAGTGAACTTGTTCTTTTATATAATTTTTGAGTATTCAATGTTATGATGGAAATTTTCACCATTATGCAAAGAAGGATGGAAATTTTCACCATTATGCAAATACCATTATGCATTATTAAAGGTTTGAGAAAAGTACTATAAAAGCCTTGGCCACAACAAGGTACCGATGGACTCATGTATGTGTGCCTCGGCTACGCCTCGGCCCACATTTGCATGTTCGTCCATCAATGCCTCAGTTGCTGGCCGCTGCAGTAATGTACTATTTTTACATAAATGGATACACTTACAGATTGGTCCTATAGATATTTTATCAAAATCGGTTCAGTAGTTTTATTTTTCAACAAAAATGATTGGTTTTGCTATATTTAATTTATTTTTATTTTATTCTTTATTGCACAATAAAACTTTGTACAAATGGCGAACTTAATGCCATATGGCATTCTCTACCAGCTAACCATTGGGTAAAAACAGAAAGCGTATGAAGGACAGATGTGATGAAAAATATATGACAATTATAGTAACACATTAAGGCAATACACAATATAAATATAATATACACATAAGAAATTCACATATAATGCACATAAATTAATGTTGATTTTTTTTGTAGACACAATTTAATTATAGTTTTTTTTTCAGTATGATGCAAAAAATGGGCTGGCAAGGCGGTGCCTTGGGTAAAGATGGCGTCGGAATTGTGGAACCTATTGCTCCTAATATTGCCTATGTAAGTAACATCTGTTTTTGTCTGTAGAAAATACAAGGTAGCATTGTTAGAGCAGTGGGACGGCATTCCTTAAGAAAATGTTAAAAAAATTGATAAGATCAATGAAAAACAGACTGCAGGCTGTAATAAGGGTATTGATTTAATAATTTTTTTTTTCAATTTTTACCATTTTTTGTTTAATTTCCAAAATACGGGACCTAGTCTCTTTTCCTAAATTTCCATTTTTCCAACTCTTACGTTCAGACATAATTAAATCACGATTAAATGGGGATGTCGGTAGGGGCCGCCCTAGACGGACGTATGTTTGAACAAATAGGCGACGTGCTGAAGAAGGGCCAAATTAAAAGTACCCGTAACCGGCGAGCGTGTATGAAAAGATTGATGAATGTGGAGGAGGTGAAAGGGGTCTGAGGGCCTACCATGAAGTGTTTTCCGAAATTTCGGACCCAAACGAAACAAATTTGATGGTAAAATTACATAATACATGCCGTTTGGAAATATCAGAAATGTTAAAATATTGTTCCTTTGGACTTTTATGATAGGATGTATGACGAACGAAATGTTAAACTCCATTTATTGGTCCGATTTTGGTATAAACAAAAACACGAAATTGAGTAATTTCGGAATTTCATTTAATGGTAGACCTGATGATGCTGCTGTTTTAATCGAAGCATTTTGCATCTCATTTTTTCTGCCCATCCCAATAGTAGACAGGCGTGACGGATATGCATGTATGTGTATCGATTCAATTTTTATTTATGCAACTTAAAATGGCAAACTAGCTGACGGAAAGTGGCAACTGTCGTGTATAGTTATGAACAGTACCATGGACATAACAGTGTATACTGTTTCGCACATAATACCCCCCATGCGTTGCTATTCCTGAAGACTCAGGTGTTATTCCTCTGTACCCTGTAAATTCACTGCCATATCCCACCCTTCAAACCGAAACACAACCATGCAAACAACTGCTTCACGGTAGAAACACTAATGCGACAGAGGTACCCAAACAAACGACTTTTGTACAAAGTCTCCCTCTGGTTTGACTTACTTAATTAGATTATGTTACAGGCAACGAAAACCTTGGGTTTTGGACAAGAGAAAAAGAAAAAAAATCCGCCTCCGATTAAAAGAAATCAAAAGCCAAAACGCGCGAGACAGATGCAGATGCGCGAGAAGAGACCAAATTTCAATTTGAACGTTCTTTTACATATATTTGCGTTCGTTAGAAACAACGCCGAAACAGTTGTGGTGTTCGACAAAACTCTTCTTAACGCCGAAAGGAAAGCGATACACCAATGGGTGAACGATGTGATCAACGACGAAGGTGATGGCTACGACGAGATCAGCCCTGAAGAGTTGGAGGTGGTGAAGTTGATACGTGAACATAACAATTACGTTTTGCACACTCAGAGCGAAGGGAAGATGCCATTTAGGTCAGTTCAATGATTTATACTAACATTATAAAGAGGGAACGATTGTTTATTTGTAATGGACAAACTCAAAAAGTACTCAACCGATTTTTAGAAAAGAAGAGGTTTACAATTCAGTTGTATTTTTCTATGTTTGTTACCTCATAACTCCGTCAGTTCTGAATCGATTTGATAAATTCTTTTTTATCTGAAAGGATATACTTACAGACTGGTCCCATAGATTATCAAAATTGGTTTTGTCACAATCATTTTGTTTTTATGGGACACAATCATTAATTATTCTCGTTGTATTCTTTCTTTGTGTTTTATTAATATGTAAGAGAATGAATTAATTGCACCGACAAGAGGAAACTCTTAAATGAAAAGAAGAAGAGAATAAACATTGTTATAATTATTTTGTGTTATTTCTCAGCTTATTTATTATTATTTTGTGTTATTTCTCAGCTTATTTATTATTATTTTGAGTAATTTCTCAGCTTATTTATTATTATTTTGTGTAATTTCTCAGCTTATTTATTGTTATTTTGTGTTATTTCTCAGCTTATTCAGCTCAGCTGGTTTTGAAGTGACAAGGACGGGTTTGTTACAAAGTCACTTGTTCTCATGTTTTATTTTATTTAGTGGGAATGTCAGCAGTGGGACTATTTAGAAATTTACTATTGTTGATTTCTGTAGTTTAATGATAAATGTTCTATTAAGATGCAGTTAATATAATGAGTTCTGTAGACACTGGGATAATACCGGTAGACGATATGATAGTCGGGATTATGTCTATTATTATTAAATTATTTCATTACAGAGAACTAACTATATTTAAAGAGGCACCAACACATGTTTATCTTATAACACCAAATGACTTGAGAGACGAAATAAACACAGATGATTCAGACAAATCGGAATACGAGACGGTTGCTATTGATGGAGACTGTGCACCCAGTGGAGGCGATGAAAAGGAAAAAGGTAGTGATGCGAAAAGAGAAGATGCTAATTGTATAAAAGGTAGCATAGAAGACAAAGAACTGGCACCATACGACAAATTGATAGAGTACTTCATTGAATTCTCTAAAGAACAGGACTATACAGAGTTTAGATTTTTAGGTCTGTACAATGCTAACGAAATGGACGCTTTAAATGAGTTCTGGAGGAATATATTCATGTATTTAAATAGAGACATGACATCAATAGATACAAGGTATCTACCTGCGTTAACAAATGAAGAAATTTCGTTCACAGTGAACCAAGACTGTAATGGATATGATGTGTGAGTATTTGTTTGAAGCAGTTGTGTTTGCATGGCTGTGTTTTGGTTTGAAGGGTGGGATATGGCGTGAATTTACTGGGTACAGAGGAATAACACCTGAGTCCTCAGAAATGGCAACGCATGGGGGGTATCATGGGCGAAACAGTATACTCTGTTATGTCCACGGTACTGCTCATGTCTATAGGCGACGGTTACCATTTTCTATCAGGTTGGTCGTCAGCTCATTTGCCGTTCTAAGTTGTATAAAAAAGAATATTTGTTTGTTTGTGTAACACCTTTTTATATATTTTTTATTGCGTTCAAAATATACTGTAATAATAAATTGGTAACAAATTAAGCAAAGGTGAACTTCTCTCTAAAATAGATCCCTTCCAGGCAACCTAACATAGTAGCAAGGGGGGAAAGGGATTGTTAGCAATGGAGTTTGATATATATATATATATATATATATACACTACGAATCTACTTGATCTATACACACTATTTTGCCACTCATTCAATTTAAGAATTTAACACAAAAAAAAAAGAGACAAAACAGTTCAATAGCTAAAATAGGTTTATAAGAGGTCTGTTGTTTTGATGAATAACGGAATAAATTATAGGACATAGAATTATTAAGAAAGGAACGAGTACAATAGCAGACTTGTACCATAAAAGGGATCTTCCAGTCAACTTTAGAATGTCTGATGGAGATAAGAAAATAATAGCTTTCTAACCAAATACTTGTCTTTTTTTAATGGATTATAATGGAATAGTAACCCCGCCTACGCTAACGGTATACACTGTCATGGCACCAGTGAGGGATGAGGATGAAGTCAAGTTAGCGGGACCATCGTGACGAATTCACCAAGATTTCCAGGGGGGACCGTGTAGAGGTCGACCTGATGGCAAATTTCCCTATATTGTTAGCAATCGGGCTGCTAGACCCCATTATTAACAAATGTTATTTTCTTTGAGGTTAAAAAGTTAATTAAACTAATTTTTTGTTTCAGAATATACAAACACGTAAAGGACAGTCGACAGTAATAAGAATTATAGATATAATATAGATTAAGACTTAATTATGTATTATATTTAGAATATTAACTTATTAAAAATGATGATTTTGCCATATGTTTTTTAATTTTTTCATTTTAATCCAATGAAACCAATTATTTAGTACAAATTCTCGTTTAATTAAAAAGAGGAAAGAATTTTTGCTCAAAAATGCATAAATTCAAAATAATTTTAACCGATTTTAAAAATATTTTCACCTATAGAAAGCTACATTTTTTTTTAATAGACAGTAATGTAATGATAACCCCGTCTGGTGGGGGGAAAAGGATTGTTAGTAATGGAGACTAAGAATCCCATTGCTAGCAATATACCCAACCAGGTCGACCTCCTCGCGGTTCCCCATGGAAACTATCATGGTTAATTCCTGATGAATTCATCATGATGGGCTAACTGGCCTGTTTTCATTCTCATCTATCACCCTTCACTGGTGCTCCGTCAGCGTATCCCGTTAGCGCAGGCGGGGTTACCATTCCATTTTCACCCATCAAAAAAACCCCCGCCTGCTCTATCGGTATGCGCTGGCAGGGCACCATTGAGGGATGATAGGTAATGATGAAGCAGCAGTTAGCCTACCTTGACACAATATCAATATCTAACAATAAATCAATCTTGATGATTTCCAGGGGGAACCACGAGGAGGTCGACCTGACAGAGTATATTGCTAGCAATGGGGCTATCCCCATTACTAACAATCCCTTCTCCCCCTATAATTGTGTACTGAACTATGTTGTTTCATTTGTGATTTCAAGAAGTATGTGATTGGTAGATCGCATAGGGTTTCGTCAGTAAAAAAAGTAGATCTTGGGTCTAGTCAAGTCGATTATCCCTGCTATATAGGATATATTTAGTACATAGTTTACTTTATGTACCGTTCACACACGGGCGAAGTCGCAAGATACAGTTAGTCATAAATAAAACCAACTAATTGTAAAGTCAACATATTTATTCACTATATTTACATATGAGATGTTAAAACACAATTTCAGTCTATGCCGTCTAATCGCAATACAAGTAATACTAACATTTGACTTTACATTCGTGAAATAATAAAATACTTTGAAACATCATCCATTATATATGTCCGCCATTTTGTTGACACAAAAATCGTTATAAAGAAATATAATTTTATATACATATAAAGAGATGCAATGATATAACAAAGTTGATATCTTAATTTTTATGTCATTACAATTTACAATTAATTTAAAATAAATTTCGACTAAAGTATAAAAAAAAAAGAAAATTCGTTTGTTCCTGTTGTGCCACTATTGTTATTACACATATTGCTCATAGACACGTGATACCATTAATAAATTTGTCTATTACTCTTCCATTCAAATTAGGAACGAAAGGAATCAAAGTGAGATACTTTTAAAAATACGCTGTGTCAAGTGTCTATGGAATTTTTATCTCATTTTTTTAACATAACTTTACGGCTTTGGATGTTTCCTTTAGCCTATTATTAATATGTATAAAATGATACAGTTAGTATTGTGACATGACAGGAACAAATAAAACAATTTGACGGGGCAATAATTAAGCTAAATAAGTTATCAGTCTAATAGAAATTGGATATGTATTCAAAAGAAACAAATTATTGCTTAATTAAAGCTTATAGTTTGTATGACTTATTGGCGTAATAAATAGTATTGCCTAATAATATAATGTTCAGAATAATTTTAAGACTTTATTCCCCAAAAAACATCGACTTACAACATGGCAAAACTAATTATTTTAATTTAAAAACTTAATTACTGAATCAATTTTAATAAAATTTCTATGGGACCAGTCTGAAACTATATCCTTTCAAGTAAAAAAAAAGGTATTTTCCAAATCGGTTTACAATGGAGTTATGAGGTAACAAAAAAAAAAAACATACAACCGAATTGAGAACTTGTTTTTAAGGTCGTTTGAAAAAAATTCTGTAATTGGCCAAATTTAATAAAGCAAATGTAGTTAAAGAAAATCTTATTTAAACAAAAGATTTTTTGTTTATACATAAACAGATGTCAGACAAACTATTTTAGTAAGACATCTAAATATGTATTCAACACCTGTCTATGGCAAGTATAATTTTATGTGGTAAGACCGAAAGAGTTGCCTAGTATCCATTGTATAAGGTTTAATTAAAAAAAAAAAAATTGTACAGACTTCACCCTATATGTGTTTAAAATAAGATTGCGGAAGTAGGCCTGTTTGAAATACAGATTATATTTTTGGCGCCAAAGCAGTCATGTTCTATTTGTGGTATTTTTTTTTTTATTTAAAATAGACAAAAGCGATGTGTTTCGATGAGGATTTAAAAATAAATGGCCACTTGTAGAATTTGTAATTGTTACTTCAAATATTTTATAAATACCATTTTTAAATAATTCACTTTAAATAAAATCAGTCAATTTGTCAAATTTAAAAAGAAATCATAGCCATAGACTTATATTAAAATAAAGTTGCCTTACTAAAAGGTAAATAATTTATGTATATGGCAATATAGAATTATATTTAAAATATAATTAACTAATTTAATTCGTGGTGTATAATAAAAATGTCTTTTATGAAACTACAGAAATAAAAGCAGTCTATAATAATATCACTTAAAGATATGGCAACACTACGGGGGAATATTATTCTAAAGGTTTACCATTTAACTGAGCTTTATGTGGTAAAGGGGGCGTGAGTGAGATAGAAGACAGCAAGATATATAGGTTAATTATTAACTTAAAAATGTTAATACGTCACGAGTCGGTTCTGAGGCGGTATTTATTTACAACTACCTCTTTATCTAATATTTCAATTTGATAATTTCGCGATTTTACTGTATTAAACTTAAATCTGTTAGAAATTTAGTTCATATTTGTTTTCTGAAAAAATATTTCGCTGGTATATCAAAATAAAAAAATTATAAACAGGTGCAGAGAAAAGGTGAAATAGAATTGAATCCTTATGTTTATTTGCTTTGAAAATTCCTCCGAGAAACCTCACCACTGCGCATATATGCAGGACTCAGTTAAACAGTACACCGGTCACAACAATTCAATCTAAAATAGACCTTATTGATTTCATACAAAGACTTTCTTTTGAACATAAGTTCTGCACATTGAAATTTTGAAATAAAATCTATTTGAACTATCGATTTTTTTTCGGGTACACTCAACTCATTAAAAGCTTTAATGAGTTACTTCGTAAGGTCTCTTTTAGCTTGACTCATTATGTTTCTTATCAATTAAAAGACGCTGCACACTGTCGATAAATACAACGTTATAATAATAAAAAAAAATCTATTCTATTTTCAAATCTATTTTAAAAGCGGTCATCCTTAAAAAATCCTAGTCTATGGTAGAAAAAAATAGCGATCAGGCGACAATGCGTAACGACTGTTAATCATTACCATAGATAAAAAGTTTTTTTTTCCTATGACATTACAAAAACTTACCGAGACTTATTTACATTATGTGGTTATTACAAATACCACATTTATGGAGACACATATTAGTTGACTTCGAGATCTGGGAATGAATTTAGAATGTAAAATGTCGTAAACAATTGAAGACATGAATGGATGAAGGCGACATGCCCTGATTTCGGAATTTCACCATTTTACGAACGGTTTTTTTTAGCAACATTCTGACACCATAACTTATAGTTAGTGTACATATAATACCTCCATACATGCACATCATAGAGGGCAATCGAAATTTTTTTTTATTTAATTTAAATTATTTTCAATACAATAGGGGGGAAAGGGGTTGTTAGTAATGGAAACTGAGAATCCCATTGCTAGCAATATACTCAACCAGGTCGACCTCCTCGCGGTTCTCCCTGGAAACTATCATGGTTAATTCCTGACGAATTCATCATGATGGGCTAACTGGCCTGTTTTCATTCTCACCTATCACCCTTCACTGGTGCTCCGCCGGCGTATCCTGTTAGCGCAGGCGGGGTTACCATACCATTTTCACTCATCAAAAAAAAAATACAATGTAGATACAATAATTCATTCAATACAATACACATTCAATACAAATTAATAAGTGAAGCTTCCCAGCTATAACATTCATTTTATGGGTAATTCATTTGCATATCGTGCTGTGCAGCTGTGGAATAAACTTCCCGTGGGTATTCATGAATAGTCCGTCTAGCAGTTCCTTCAAGAAGAGACAGAGAGGGAGAATCTCTCTTTCCAATTTCGTTTGAATATTATTGACTAGAACACTGTCATTATTGTGTTCTCTTATATTTGATACTAGCTGTTCCCCTTCGCCCGCGTTTCCGTCGTTTTTCGTAAAATAAGTAGCCTATGTCCTTCCTCACGGTTCAGTGGTTTTGATGTAACAGATACATTTCCGTTCACTGCTCAGCTCCTATTGATCGTAGCGTGATGAAAAGTGTATAACCTGCTCAGGAGTATGAAGAATAATTGTACCAAGTTTCGTTAAAATCCGTCGAGTAGTTTTTGTTTCTTTTTATATTTTTTTTTTTATACAACTTAGAATGGCAAACAAGCTGACGGCCCACCTGATGGAAAGTGGTAACCGTCGCCTATAGACATGAGCAGTACCATGGACATAATAGAGTATACTGTTACGCCCATGATACCCCCCATGCGTTGCCATTCCTGAGGACTCAGGTGTTATTCCTCTGTACCCAGTAAATTCACGCCATATCCCTCCCTTCAAACCGAAACACAGTTATGCAAACACAGCTGCTTCACGGTTGAAACACGAATGGGACAGAGGTACCCAAGCAATCGACTTTTGTACAAAGTCTCCCTCTGGTATATCGAATTTCTATAACGAACATACAGACAGACAGACAAAAATTTTACTGATTGCATTTTTGGCATCAGTATCGATCACTAATCACCCGCTGATAGTTATTTTGGAAATATATTTCATGTACAGTATTGACTACAGATTTATTACTACATATACTAATAGACAGGCGTAATAATGCCAAAATATTGTACGACATCTGTATGTATGTATGTACACGCGACATGTCCATCTTCATCCATTCCCGTTTTCAAATCTATTTTGACAACGTTTAGGTGTTTATTACCCTATCACATTTATGGGATCACATATAATGTATTATACATATAGTAAAGTAATTTAGCCGATTCAAAAAACAGCCAGAACTATATAAATACAGTCACGAATACAAATGTATTGTGCAGACGATATTATGTATATGATAGTGTAATAACACCCTTAATAATCACATATTAAGGTCCATTATTTATAAATTTACGTCACATTATTATCACACAATGAAATATGTATGTTATAGCCAAAATTCAAAATACAGAAGCTCATATTAAGTCTAATATTACTTAATGGGGGGAAAGGGATTGTTAGCAATGGAGTTTGACAGCCCCATTGCTAGCAATATGCCTTATTAGGTTGACCTCCACGTGGTTCCCCCTGGAAATCATCGTGAACAATTCTCGTCAAATTCGTCACGATGGACTAACTGGACTGCTTCATCCTCACCTATCATCCTTCACTGGTGTCCCGCCGGTGTATACCGATAGCGCGGGTGGGGTTACCATTCCATTATCATCCATTAAAAAAAATACTTAATATTTGATTATAAATTGATACTGTTTACACAGAATAATCTGAACAGAGGGAGACTTTGTACAAAAGTCGTTTGCTTGGCCACCTCTATTCCATTCGTGTTTCTACTGTGAAGCAGTTGTGTTTGCATGGCTGTGTTTCGGTTTGAACGGTGGGATATGGCAAAGAATTTACTGGGTACAAAGGAATAATACCTAAGTCCTTTGGAATGGTAATGCATGGGGGGTATCATGTGCGAAACAGTATACTCTGTTATGTCCATGGTACAGCTCATGTGTATAGGCGACGGAAACCACTTCCCATTAGGTGGGTCGTTAATTTGTTTGCCATTTTAAGTTGCATAAAAAAAAGAAACATCGATTAGATTATTGATCGATAAATAAGTGATAGTATCTTTTTTTTTACAACACAAGCGGCAAACGAGCATGCGGCTCACCTGATGGTAAGTGATTACCGCCGCCCATGATCACCCACAACACCAGCGGCATTGCAGGTGTGCTGCCGACCTTTTAAAAGGGAATATGCTCTTTTCTTGAAGGTTATGTTGTCGTATTGGTTCGGAAATACTACTGCTGGAAGTTGATTCTAAAGAGTGGTTGTGCGTGGAAGATAGTGCCTTGAAAAACGCATGGTGGAGGACCGCCACTCGTCCAGATGGTTGGGATGAAACTTTAGTTTGTGACGGTGGTATATCTGTCCAGTATCGATATCCGAGTCTATTCCGGTTTGACTATAACATACATACAAATATAATTACAAATACTTTATTATTTCGGAGGTATCTACAACTTTACAAGCTCTTATTTAATTAAGCTGAAGTGGCAATGAGCCCAACAAATAATTCGAAGAAACGACTGAAATATGCTCGAAATGACTCTGTACAGGTAGTGTAAGGCAGATAAAGTGGCTCTTTTTGGCAGTTTTACGGAGAGGCCTATTTTTAAGAACACAATATCTCCTACTTTAATTTTTGATGTGGTAACACTGAACCCAAAATGAAATATTTATAAACATATTAATAAAGGCAGCATCCAGCTTATTTGATAGAATATTAAAAAAAAAAAAAATATGGGAAAAATTACTGGCTGTTAAAGCATGAATAAAATATAGAATGAACATTTAAATATTCGATTCTAAATTTAAAAAAAGCAAAACGTGACGATAATTTCGAACGCGGGAAAATTCGTAACTGTGTTTAACGTTTAAAACTTTGACGTGTATAATTATAATTATAACGTAATATAATAGCTACACTATATTGTAGGGCTGCCATCTTGTCAAAATTAATATTATTCTACCTCCTGTATTAAATTTTTACACAATGCTTCTATAGTCCTGGTGTTAGTAATACGTATCAGTCGCGTGGTTGTTAGTACTTACACATAGAAGTATCGAGTGATGCGTGAATCAGGAACGTCAAAAATAAATAGGATTATTTAAATCACGTAATAAGACTGTACAGCTTAGTTCCTTTACCTTTTGCATTGTTGACAAACCGGTAGTAGTAGATAAATTGTAAAATTTAAATTTCGAAGCGAATATTATTAGTGTTTTTTTTTCACTGGTAACGCGTACTCGATACATCGACTTGTCATTTTTTGAGTATCATTCGATTCCCTCAGTCATTTACTTTGGTTTGTGTATCGTTGGCAAGGAAGATTATTGTTATTGTGATGCTATTTCTGGCTGCGCGTCCTGTAAACGAAATAGATTGTTTTTTTTTACACTATATTGCACGAAGGAAAAAAAAAATACAGTAAATATTAATGAGAAGTGATACAAAAGGCGGCCTTATCGCTAAGCAATTTTATTATTATGAATGAATGAATAATTTTAGTTATGTGGCGTCTTTTTACACGACTGTTCAAAAAAGGAGTGTACTGTTTTTAGGTTCATGTATATATCAGAGTTTCTTTCATCATTATTTTACATATTAGTTATTAACTGTTCACTGGTTTGGGGGGAAAGGGAGTGTTAGTAATGGAGACTGAGAATCCCATTGCTAGCAATATACCCAACCAGGTCGACCTCCTCGCGGTTCCCTCATCTATCATCCTTCACTGGTGCTCCGCCGGCGTATCTTGTTAGCGCAGGTCCCGCCTGCGCCATACCATTTTCACCCATCAAAAAAAAAAAACTGTCCACTGGTGGACAGCCTTCACCATAAGGGTGGTTTTGCCAGTAGTTGCTATGCTTGGTAGGTGGGTTGGTAAATGCAGTTAGGATTTGGCGATGTCTTAAGAGGGATGCTCCTCCCTCGACCATTTAATTTTTAAATTCAAATCATCTTTATTCAAATATACTTGTTTACAAACATTTTAATTTTTTTTTTTAAATCTGTAGTGTTCGGAAAGTTTGTATTTGTTGAGAAGAGTCCGCAACAAACTCAACAGTTACTCTTTTAAATCTCTGTTAACATTATGTGTATTTATTTAAATGTACTATGTCTAAAATTACATGGTCGTTAAAAGCCCATGCATGATGGACTAACACCATGCACATTTGCCATTCAAGTAATCGTTTAGTTGGTAACAAATTGATTTTGGAGAAAGAGGTCTCTTCATTTCACCATAACTTTTAAATATTTGAAAAGATTTGGATGTATGGTTTTTTTTAATGGGTGACAATAGAATAGCTAATCCCGCCCGCGATATCGGTATACATCGATGATATCGCGATGGCACCAGTGGAAGATGATAGGTGAGAATGAATGCTGGTCAGTTGGTTCACTATGATGACTTCGACAAGAATTAACCACTATGGTTTCCAGGGGAACTGCATGGAGGTCGACCTGATAGGTAATTTATTTTAATGTGTGATAATGGAATGGTAACCCTATCCGTACTATTGGTATACACCGGCGGGGCACCAGTAAAGAATGATAGGTGAGAATGAAGCAGGTCAGTTGGCCTATCGTGACGAATTCAACGAGAATTGTTCACCAGGGGTAACCACGTGGAGGCTGACCTAATAGGGCATATTGCTAGCAATGGGGCTGTCAAACTCCATTGCTAACAATCCCTTTCCCCCCAATATATGGGTACGGTTTTTTTTTTAAAGGGCGAAAATGGAATGGTAACCCCACCTGCGCTAACGAGATACGCTGGCGAAGGATCAGTGAAGGATGACCGATGAGAATGAAAACAGGCCAGTTAGCCCATCATGATGAATTCTATGGGTAATGGTTAGTATGTTTTTATTTGTGGTGGCAGTGCGTAAACATACCTACCGCGCGGCGAAGGCGGCGCCGGTGGCGGCCAGGGCCAGCACTGCGCAGAATGTGGCGCTGGCGGCGGCAGGCGGCGCCGCGTCCGCCACCGCGCGAGACACCGCGCCGCCCATGTACGACGCCGACACCAGCAGCCCCAGCGCTGTGCACCTACAACATGATTTGACCTTCAATAGATGGTAGTGCCATGGTAACCCCGCCTGCGCTATCGATATATGCTGGCGGAGCACCAGTGAGACATGATATGATCATATTTCTTCATTTCATATAGTACGGGTGTATCAAATTTCACCAATTGGTTTAGTTTTTTTAATGGTCCTTCGAGCCGGATATTTATTATAACAGTTACTGTGACGTACCTCAAATTAGCGGGATACTTGTGCACGACCGCGGTGACGACCGCGAAGAAGACGAGCGTGGCGAGCCCCCGGTACGCCGCCTCCACCACGTACAGCAGGTGCTCCTCCTGCACCAGGTAGAGCGCCGGCGCCAATAATACCGACGCACCGCATATCACCACTGCAAACAATAGCAAGTTCAAATTCAAATAATTTGTATTTAAATAGACTTGTTTACAAGCACTTTTAGGTAATTGTTTTTTTATAAGTGCAGTGTTTAGAAAGTTGTTATCTGCAGAGAAAAATGGACCGGAAGGACCGAAATCATAGTTAAACAAAATATCAATTGATGTATTACCATTTAAGATTTGGTCCATTTGGACATGAAATAAATTTAATACAGTGTAAATACTAGTGTGGCGATAGTCAAAAAGAACAATTAAAAAAAAAATCACCACCACCAGAGTTATATACATAACTCTATGGTGGTTCTATCTGGTGGGCATTCTTTTCTTAGGTGGGGAAAATGGTAACGACGCCTGTGCTATCGGTATACACTGGCGAGATATCGGTGAGAGGTGATAGGTGACGATGAAAGCAGGTCTGTTAGTCCATCGTGACGAATTCTATTAGCTGTAGCCACGTTAGTTAGAGGGAATCACGTGGGCGTCGACTTAAGAGGGTATATTGCTAGCAATGGCATTATTAGTCCGTATTACTAACAATTTCTTCTCTTTCAACAATGGGACTAGTAGATCAGATTGCTATCAATCCTTGTGGTATTTTTTTTATATAATTTAGAATGGCGAACAAGCTGACGGCCCAGCTGATGGAAAGTGATAACCGTCGCCTATAGACATGAGCAGTACCATGGACATAACAGAGTATACTGTTTCGCCCATGATAAGTAGATCGTGGTGGTGGTGACGGTGGTGGTGTTGGTGACGGTAGTGGTGGCGGTGGTAGAGGTGACGGTGGTGATGGTGGTGTCGGTGGTGGCGGTGGTGTCGGCGATGGTGTTGGTAGCGGTGGTGGTGTTGGTAGTGGTGGCGGTGTTGTTGGTGTCGGTGGCGGCGGTGTCGGTACTGGTGGCGGTGGTGTGGGTACGTACCGGCGGGGCGCGCGGCGCGCGGCAGCAGCGCGAGCGGCGCGGCGAGCAGCGCGGCGCGCGCGGCGGCGCGCTGCTCGGCGAGGGGCGCGGCGAGGCGCCAGGCGAGGTCGGCGTGGCGCGCGCAGCCGCCGCGCACGCCGCGCACGCTGCTGCCGCGCAGCACGCACCACGCGTCCAGCTCGCGCCCCACCTCCATGTCCGTGTCGATTATGCTGCACACCCAGCCGCACGCGGCAAGCAGCGGGGTCGATAACAATGGCAAAACATCTAACTTTAATACTTCGAGCCGGATTCACACTTTTGGAACGCAAAAATCGACTTCTAGTTAAAAAAAAAAATATTTGGCGCATAATATTAATAATAATACAAACTAAAACATAAAAAACCATATACTTAAAAAAAATTAAAATACACAATAAACTAAATAGAAATTATGCGACCAAAATGGTCACCACTCAACTAAATGTTTAGGCATTCATACACATAACGTCTAAACGCTGATTTTCTTTGGAACCAATTTTATTACTTTATTTTTAATTAAAGTATTTTATAAGTGGTAATAAATGCAGATTCGAGAGCATTCTTTATGGCTATGGAGAAAGCCTATGTTCAACAGTGGACGAATAATGGCTAAGATGATAATGATAATTATTTCACTATACATATTAGTTCACACTAGTGACATTTTTCATTTTGGTGATTTATGGGAGTCTGCAGTCAAATTGGTTAAAAGACATCTTTAGTGAATGCTACATTTGACACACTTAAATACACACGTCGTGTCAAATGGACTAACTAGAAATACAAATAAGAAATTATATAGTATTTTTAAATACATTGTTACTTCTAAATATTGTATTATAACCAATATTCAATTCATTAGTGGCACAGTTAATTGTCCATTGCTGAACATAGACTTCCCCCATGAGACGGGTTTACATACACACTGAGGTATATAACAAATATACAATTAATAACAAAATTCACAATAAATCTATTAACAACTAGCAATCCAACCCGGCTTCGCACGAGTAGACAGGATTTTAGAAAATCAAAACATATAACAAAAAAATATCAGCCAATTCATCTGATTGGTTATTATATAACATTTCATATGTGATTCCTTAAATTTTATAACTTTTTTATTTATGAACCGGTTGAAATAAAACAAACACTAAATGTTAAGTGGGGCAAACCGTAACGCGTTAAAGAAAACCGTATTCAAATCGGTAAAACCGTTTTTGAGATTAGCGTGCTCAAACGCACAGACAAACAAACAGACAAAAATTCTAAAAATCATTGTTTTGGGTTCTATTACGTTCATAAAGCCCCCCCATAATAGTTTTTCTTATATATCTTCCATGTGCAGACAGCGACCAGTTACGACTTTATTATTATTTTCTACCTTTAAATGCCCACTGCTGGACATAAGCCTTCCCCATAAGGGAAGTTTGTCCAATAGTCGCTACGCTTGGCAAGCGGGTTGGCAATCGCAGTTAGGCTTTTAGAGATGTTTTAATAAGGATGCTGCTGCCCATCCCTCGCCGTCCCTTAGTCGACTCTTACGACACCCACGGGAAAGGAAGGGGTGGCCTATTCTATGCCTGAGCACATACGGTAATTACGATTTTATTATATATATATATATATATATATATATATATATATATATATATATATATATATATATATATATATTAATCGATTAACTTAAAATCACTCACGTGCTATTCACAAAAGTGGACCCCATGAAGACGGTATATGACGACTTGATGTTCGCGAAGGCCACATGGTCGAACGAGCAGTTCCTGAATGTCACATGCGACATGAGCATGTCCCTGAAGGCGCACTCCACGAAGGTCACGTTGGTGAACTCCACGTTCTCCATAGTGGTGTTGTAGTGCTCCTCCACCAGCGTCGTGTTCTGGATTATCGTCTTGGACGCTTCGAACTGTGCGTTCGACATTTTGAGCACGGTCAGTGGTATGAACGATGACAGGTAGAACTGAAATAGATGGTTTTTTTTTTTAATAGTTTTAAATGGCATAGGTTTAGTATTAAATTGCAAACAGAAAATGTGGAAAATTATTAATTTAATTTTTTTTATACCACTGAGGTGGTAAACAAGCATACGGCCCACCTGATGGTAAGTGGTTACCGTAGCCTATGAACACCTGCAATACCAGAGGCATTATGCGTGCGTTGCCGACCCTGAAGAAACCTCTTTACCCCCCTTTTGAAGAACCCCACGCTGTAGTCTCTTGGAAAAACCTCGGCAGGGAGCTCATTCTACAACCTGAGTGTTTGTGGGAGGAAATATTTTTTTAATTAATAGCAATGTTAAGAAAATGGCGAGCTTTGTTTTTAACAGGGTTGGGTAATATAATATATAATGCAATATCTATGTATATATTTTAGTTACAATATCAATGTACTGGTTCAATAATAAATATGTTAAAAGACTGTTATCTAAAAATCTAAATTACCAGAGGGAGACTTTGTACAAAAGTCGATTGCTTGGGTACCTCTGTCCCAATCGTGTTTCAACCGTGAAGTAGTTGTGTTTGCATGGCTGTGTTTCGGTTTGAAGGGTGGGATATGGCGTGAATTTACAGGGTACAGAAGAATAACACCTGAGTCCTCAGGAATGGTAACGCATGGGAGGTATCATGGGCGAAACAGTATACTCTGTTATGTCCATGGTACTGCTCATGTCTTATGGCGAAGGTTACTACTTTCCATCAGGTGGGCCGTTAGCTTGTTTGCCATTCTAAGTTGTATAAAAAAAAATATCGAATAACAGAATTTTAACATGTTTGAAAATTGATATTCGATTTTGTACAAAAGTAGTTTGCTGTCCCATTCGTGTTTCAACCATGAAGCAGTATTTCAGCATCTTGACATGAGTAGATTTTGTAGGGAGGAAAGGGATTGTTAGCAGTGGAAATTGACAGCCACATTGCTAACAATATTAGCCCTATTAGGTCGAGCTCCACCTGGTATCCTCTGGAAACCATCGTGAACAATTCTTGTTGAATTCGTCACGATGGGCTAACTGACCTGCTTCATCCTCACCTATCATCCTTCACTGGTGCCCCGCCGGTGTGTACCGTTAGCGCAAGCAGGCTTACCATTCCATTATCACCCATTAAAAAAAAAATAGATTTTGTAAGGTACTTTTAATTTATACAAGCTAATGTTTTATATCCAAAATTATAGCAAATAAAATCATTATGTTTGTGTGTTGTTGATGCAGTGAACGTGATCATCACCTGTATGGCCACAGTGAACAGTAGTACGCCGCCGAGCGAGAGCGTGGTGGTACGGTACGCGCTCGAGAACAGCTGGAAGAACGCCTGCCAGAACTGCAACAACCAATAAATTAACTGTTTTTTTTTATACCACTGAGGTGGCAAACAAGTATACGGCCCACCTGATGGTAAGCGGTTACCGTAGCCTATGAACGCCTGCAATACCAGAAGGTATTACGCGCGCGTCGCCGACCCTGAAGAAACCTCTTTACGCCCCTTTTGAAGAACCCCATGCTGTTGTCTCCTGGGAAAACCTCGGCAGGGAGCTCATTCCATAACCTGAGTGTTCGTGGGAGAAAACATCTCTGAAACCGCGTTGTACGCGACCATTTAGGCTGTAAGGTATGAGGGTGAACTCCCTGTCGATGGCGAACTGTACGATGATAGAAAGTGGCCGCAGGCATCATATTGAATAATTCCTCTGAGCACAATCCGTTGTACAAGCGGTAGAACAATCGGGGTTATCATTATCACCTATAAAAAAAAAACATGGGCGTGCGTGCATGTGTGTAGCGTGTAGTGTGCGTACGTTCAACTGGCATGCGTGCAGGCGTGTGTAGTGTGTAGCGTGCGTACGTGTAACATGAGCGGGAATGCATGTGTAGCGTGCGTGCGTAAATGTAATAAGGGTGTGCGTGCGTGTGTGTAGCGTGTAGCGTGCATGTGTGTATAGCGTGAGTCGCGCGCGTGTGTGTAGCGTGTGGCGTGCGTGTGTGTAGCGTGTGGCGTGCGTGTGTGTAGCGTGTGGCGCGCGTGCGTGTGTGTGGCGTGTGTGTATCGTGTAGCGTGCATGTGTGTGTAGCGTGTGGCGCGCGTGCGTGTGTGTGGCGTGTGTGTAGCGTGTGGTGCGCGTGTGTGGCGTGTGGCGCGCGTGCGTGCGTGCGTGCATGCGCGTGTGTCGTGCGCGTGGCGCGTGTGCGCGTGTGTCGTGCGCGAGTCGCGTGTGCGCGTGTGTGTAGCGTGGGGCGCGCGTGCGTATGTGCGCGTGGCGTGTGTGCGCGTGTGTGCGCGTGTGCGGTGCGCGTGCCGTGCTCACCATCTTGACGCCGTGGCGCACGTGCGCGAGCGCGGGCGCGGGCGGCGGCGGCCGCTTGCCGGGCAGCGCCAGCTCGGGCAGCCGCGCCTCGCCGCGCCGTCCGCACACGCGCACCACGTTGCCCGCGTGCACGCGCTGCATACGAACAACCGTACCATTCAACCATATCTTACTTCATTATATACCAAATTGTATATAAATGATTAGAATCAATCGTTATTAAAAAAAAAAAAAAAAAAAAAAAAACTAGTGACTTTCTTTACATAACTGGGATATTACAATAGATTGGGACAAAAGGTACCCTATAGCGTTCTCTATCCCAAATATTATGTATATAACGAATTTCACACCAACCAGTTAAGACGTCAAAAAGGGATAAACAGTATCACTTTTATGATAGTAAAGATTATTGTAATACGAATTTAAATATTTGTATTATATTATATCCATAAGAGATTTATATCCGACTCAAATAACATTTAGTCCTTCGAGTCGGATTAATTTACAATGATGCTGCGGTGGAGTTTTTATAAGTTGGGTAGAAAAAGTCGCACTTGGCAACACTGTATGTTCAACAGTGAATAATTAAAAGTAGAAATGATGACGATGATGACAACTCACTTGGTAGACCATCATGGCGTCAACTTCCCGGCCCACCTCCAGTAGATACCGCGGCGACTCCGGCGTCCATATCAGACTAATTAGTGATGCCAGTATGGGTAGAGTGCACAGCAACAGGTACCTGTGGAATAGGGATGGAGGAAGGACTATTAATATACTTGCCGTTTCCCCCAGCTTCACCAGTCCATATCCAAGTAAGTATCTACTGTTTCAACACACAATGTATTTTATTCATATTTCTTATTTTTATTATTAATTTCATTAAGGAATTTCGCCATTGACTCTTGGCCACAAAACAATAACATGAGTTGTGACCATTTTGTGTTACTGTGGCCCACACATGAAAGAAGGAAATTGTTATTTTATATATTTTGTTTTTTTGTCCCTTTTTTGTTTTTCATTCTTTTATCTCTTTTTATTGTGTATTGTGTGTGTATGTGTGTATTATTATTTGTGTGCTATAAGTAATGCAAATAAATTATCTATCTATCTATTTACTAATAACTATTACGTTATTTCAGTATAGTTTATTTAATATATAAGTATTGTTATTATACCTGTAAAAATAGTATTAAGCGTTATATATTTAAATAACTAAAATCAAACAAAAATAAATAACGAATGCTTGGGCGAGAAATATACTATACTTGCTTAGAATACATAGATAGAGTATAGAGCCTCAAACATGGGTCCACTTTTTGTCACCAAATCGTCAAATTAGTTGACTCGTTTCTTTTTATTAATCTTCTATATACTCACGCACACAACGTAACTTGACGTAATCTATATTTAATTATTTAATAAATAAGTTTTGCGCACTAAAAAGGTGCAGAATTTATAAGACGAAGTAATTATATAGATGTTATAAAAACAGATAGATAGATAATTTATTTGCATTACATACAGCGCGTTTTACAATGATTAAAAAAAAAAAAACACCAATAACTATTTATCGCGTAAAAGTGTATGTATCTATCTATTTACTAATAACTATTGATATTTCAGTACAGCAGTGTTAACTTAAATTACCACTTTAAACTGTCATATTGAAATAACATAATCAAATAATACAAATAAAATTAATATTACAATATTTACATACATGGGCCAAACATAACATACAAATAAAAAAAAAATAAAAAAAAAAAATTAAACCTGTGATGTAAGTACAAATTATGGGAAATGAGTAAGAAAAATATTTAATCCAATGTTCAAACGTCTATGTATTTTTAAAAAAAGAATGACAATTTGCAATTTATACTGCGCGCGCAACCTCGCATGCGCTCTGTTATTTATAATTTATTTTTCTACAGAAAATCAAAAGGTTTAGTTATATATATATATATATATAAAGGTTTGTTATATGCTCTGTTTCAAATACAGACTAAAACGAGTATTATTGGAGAAACAAAATAAAGGAGAACATAACTATCGGTAGTATCTGATCCTCAATATGATATTTTACTTATGTGTGTATGTATATATATGTGTGTGTGTGTGTGTGTGTGTGTGTGTGTGTGTGTGTATGTATATATATATATTAGTATTTAACTAGTATCAAGAAATAATTCTTGTAAAAAGTAATGAACAGGGGTACCCTGCACTTTGGTTGTTTTGTAAGAGAGGGACTGGCTGAAAACCAGCGCTGTGCAGCTGTTCACATTGCGCTGGGACACTCACAGCATCCGCTGAGCCGGTTCCTTTTGCCGGGTGTGCGACACTTTTTGTATATGTCATTTATATTTTATATTGTAAGTTTACTGGCAATAAATGTTTCTATTCTATTCTATTCTATATATACAATATATATAGGGCACAAAATGATAATTTTCAAGAGTGTCACCTGTGCCAGGCGCTGAAGTGCTCCTTGTTCTCTATGAGCGTGGTGGCGCCGGTGAGCGGCAGCGTGGCGGCGGCGAGCGCCGGCGCCAGCAGCGCGCCGCCCGCCGCCGCCGCCAGCGCCGCCGCCAGCGCGGCCCGCCGCCCGCCGCCCGCCGCCAGCTCGCCCGCGTACACGTACCCCGCCGGCACTATGCCGCCCGACCCCATCGCCGAGCAGAACCTGCCCGCCACCACCACCGGTCCCACTCACCACACACACACACACACACACACACACACACACACACACACACCGACAGTACATATACTGCAAGTGTATTTATAATTAAAAAAAAATCCGTCAAGTGCGATATGGACTCGAGCTACGAGGGTTTCGTACAATTATTTTTTTATGCAACTTAGAATGGCAAACAATCTGACGGCCCACCTGATATAAAGTGGTAACCGTCGCCTATAGACATGAGCAGTGCCATGGACATAACAGAGTATACTGTTTCACCTATGAAAGCCCCCATGCGTTGACATTCCTGAGAACTCAGGTGTTATTCCTCTGTACCCTGTAAATTCACGCCATATACCACCCTTCAAACCGAAACACAGCCATGCAAACACAACTGTTTCACGGTAGAAACACGAATAGGTGACAGAGGTACCCAAACAATCGACTTTTGTATAAAGTCTCCCTCTAGTAAATCAAGTTGGATTTTCTTTGTGAAATACCTACAAATTTATGGTTTTCGCATTTTTTTCGTTAATTGTAATACATAAATGACATTGCTTCTTGCCAAATTTCACGATTCTAGTTCAATGGGAAGTATAGGTTTTGATTCTCTTGTCAAAATATGATATAAACGGCCGTATCTTTTGATTGCATCGATTCAGAAATTTAATACGTTCACGCATTCCTAAGAAAAAGGGTCTTGACAAACAGACGGACAGACAACGAAGTGATCCTATAATGGTTCCATTTTTTCTTTTAAAAATGCGGAACCTTAAAAAGAAAAAATCCCGATTGCCGTACAGAGTTTTATTTTTTATACATTTGTAAATAGAGCTATACACTTAACATGGCTTTTTTTTATTTATGGCCAGTATCATAAGTATTCCATGTAAAGTTTTTAAAGATACATCAAAATTTGTTCAGGCATTTAGAAGTTTTGCTGTATGGCCCCAGCATTGAATGAGTCAACTCTTCTTTTCCCATGGGTTTTGCAAACTGAAGCATGAGCACCAGCGTCTCTCTTCGAACATCATCAAAACCTGTAATTGCCAACTCACTTGCCAAGCATGGCAATTACTAGCAAAATCGTATGTTCTGCAGTGGACATGAAGTTATTGGTGTGAGACGCTCACCTGGCCATCATGAAGGTGCCGTAGGTGGGCATGAAGGCGGCGATGGCGGCGAAGACCGCGTTGACGGCCAGGCACGAGAGCAGCGTGCGGCGGCGGCCCAGCCGCTCGGCCAGCGCACCCCAGCCCACGCTGCCCAGCGACGCGCCCACCAGGCTGATCAGGACTGCCCACATACAGTAACATATTACAGTGCACGCTCTATATAACTCTATATATTACCAGAACGAGACTTTGTACAAAAGTCGATTGTTTGGGTACCTCTGTCCCATTCGTGTTTCTACTGTGAAGCAGTTGTGTTTGCATGGCTGTGTTTCGGTTTGAATGGTGGGATATGGCGTGAATTTACAGGGTACAGAGGAATAACACCTGAGTCCTCAGGAATGGCAACGCATGGGGGGTATCATGGGCGAAACAGTATACTCTGTTATGTCCATGGTACTGCTCATGTCTATAGGCGACGGTTACCACTTTCCATTAGGTGGGCCGACAGCTTGTTTGTCATTCTAAGTTGTATTAAATATATATATATTTTTACATTTGTTACCTCATAACTCCGTCATTTATAAACCGATAACGAAAATTCTTTTTTTAACTGAAAGGATAAACTTTCAGATTGGTCCTATAGAAATTTCATTAAAATCGGTTGAGTAGTTTAGTTTTTAAATTGACATAACTAATTTTGCCTCGTTTCAAGTCAGTTTTTTTCATGAAACACAATCTTAAATTATTCAGCTAATTCTCACCGAGCCAATTCTTCTCGTGGGGCAGTATGCAGAGTTCCATCTCGGCGGAGGGCAGTATGAAGGGTATGGCGGCGAGCTCGAGCGACCCCCCCGCGACCGCCAGACCCACCGCCGCCACCACGCGTACCTGTGACAGCCCGCAACCAGCCTGCAAACATAAACATAAAGGAAGTCAGGTCAATGGCTCACCTAGACTCCCCCCCTCCCTAAATTAGCCTATTTTCAATGGATGATAATGGAATGGTAACGCCTGCGCTAACGGTATACGCTGGCGGGGCACCAGTTACGGATGATGGGTGAGAATGAAAGGGCAGGTCAGTTAACCCATCGTATTGAATGCACCTGGAATTCAGCACGATGGTTTTCAGGGGGGACTACGTGGAGGTCGACCTGATAGGGTATATTGCTAGCGATGGAACTGATAGTCCGCATTACTAACAAAACTTTTCCCCCCTAAATTAGCCTATTAATTTTGATAACAATACGGTACGCAGTACAAATAGGTGAAAATGGAATGGTAACCCCGCCCGCGTTATCGACACACGCTGGTGAGGTATCAATGAGAGATTATCATCTCTAGATGAGGATGAAAATAGGTTTTTTTGATGGGTGAAAATGGTATGGTATCCCCGCCTGCGCTAACAGAATACGCTGACGGAGCACCAGTGAAAGGTGATAGATGAGAATGAAAACAGGCCAGTTAGCCCATCATGATGAATTAACATCAGGAATTAACCATGATAGTTTCCAGGGGGAACCGCTAGGAGGTCGACCTGGTCGGGTATATTGCTAGAAATGGGATTCTCAGTCTCCATACTAACAACCCTTTTCCCCCCGATGAAAGCAGGTTAGTTGACCCATTGTAACGAATTCCACAAGAATTGGCCACAATGGTTTTCACGAGGAGTACTAGGGTGTTTCCTGTCGCATTATATTAACATGGTGCAACACTTGGTGATCGCAAACGGACCTGGCTTAGCGCATCCTGGTGGAACTGTTCCAGTACACTGCTGTCGTTATAGTCGAGGAGTTCACCACTCTCGCCGTCCGCTCCTTCGTCCGGGGGACTTGTCGCTGTGTTTGCATTGTTCCCGGGCTCGCCACCGGCCTCTGTAGATTTAAGCAGTAACTATTAATATTTAAAACACCTCTAAAAGCCTAACTGCCAATCCGCCATGGGGGAAGGGATTGTTAGCAATGGAGTTTGACAGCTCCATTGCTAGCAATATGCCCTATCAGGTCAACATCCGCGTGGTTCCCCCTGGAAACCATCGTGAACAATTCTCGTCGAATTCGTCTCGATGGGCTAACTGACCTGCTTCATCCTCATCTATCATCCTGCACTGGTGCCCCGCCGGTGTATACCGATAGCGCGGGTGGGGTTACTATTTCATTATCACCTATAAAAAAAAAGAACTGCCATTCCGCCTGCTAAGTACGGCAAAACTCCTCTTAGACTTCCCCGAGTCTTATATTCACTAGTGGATAGTTAAAGGTAAAAATGGTGAGTGATATGTACTTAATTTTGGACGTGTGGTTCTGGCATAGAATATGCCACCCCTTCTTTTCCCGTGGGTGTCGTAAGAGCCGACTAAGGGAAGGTGAGGAATGGGCAACAGCGTCCCTCTTAAAACATCTGTAAAGCCTGATTGCAGTTGCCAATCCGCTTGCGTGACAACTACAGACAAAACTCCCCAAGGTCATGATGATGATGATGAGGCACTTGATGGATAGGTCTTGCACAACTTGTACACTCTCGATAACTTTGGACTGTATAGGTCTCTCTGGTAACATTTTTATATGTTTAATAGACTATTATTATATATTTTTTCATTTATTTAATTTAGATGCATACAGACATAATGAACAATGAGGTACGCTGCTGCCCATCCTTCGCCCTTTGTTAGTCACCTCTTATGACACCCAAGGAAGGGGTGGCCTATTCTATGTTGGGGCCACATGGACAATACATACCATGAATCCTTGCAAATAAAAATTTAAATTGATTTTTAACACATCATAGAAGGTTAAATATAGATAGAAAATAGTTTCTTCAGGGTCAGCAACGCGCGCGTAATACCTCTAGTATTGCAGGTGTTCATAGGCTACGGTAACCGCTTACCATCAGGTAGGCCGTATGCTTGTCTGCCACCTCAGTGGTATAAAAAAAAGAAAAGAAATCATCACCGACCAGTAAGCCTCTCATCAGTGTAAGTCATGGTGTGCGTTATGGAGCCGAAGCTGCCCAACTTGGAGGAGTTCTCGGAATCAGACCGCGCGCGCACCAGACTCGCTTGCTCCTCCGCCATGGTTGTTTTTTACTGTGACTGTGCTGGTACAACTTGCGCGAAACATCTAAAAACAACAATTACACTCGACATTCTTGTTATTTTTATAATATATTAATGTTGTGTAGTGTTGGATGGCAAAGAAAGAGGTGGGTTGATGACATAATAAAATCAGCAGGGAAAAACTGGAAAAATATTGCTACAGATAAGGGAAGAAGGAAGAGACTTTTACCCTTGGGGATCATTAAAGTGAAGACAAAGATGTTATGAGAAAATTTTAATAGGTCTGTTTTTTGTTTTATACAACTTAGAATGGCAAACAAGCTGACGGCCCACCTGATGGAAAAACCGTCGCCTATAGACATGAGCAGTACCATGGACATAACAGAGTATACTGTTTCGCCCATGATACCTCCCATGCGTTGCCATTTCTGAGGGCTCGGGTGTTATTCCTCTGTACCCAGTAAATTCACGCCATATCCCACCCTTCAAACCGAAACACAGCCATGTAAACACAACTGCTTCACGGTAGAAACACGATGTTTCTGGGTCTTTTATGAGAATGGGCATTAAATGTTATATAATAAGATACCAAAGGATATTTTGGACCTACATTGAAACACTTATTGAACAAAGCCTATTATTAATACACATTAAATAATTACTTAAATGACAAATGTGCATGGTGTTAGTCCATCATGCACGGGCTTTTAATTATCATGTAATTTTAAACATAGTTCATTTAAATAAATACATATAATGTTCACAGAGATTACAAGTAGTAAGATAAGAGTATCTGTTGAGTTTCTTGCTGGCTCTTCTCAACAGATAAGAACATTCCAAACCTTGCAGTAAATTAGAAAAAATGATGATTTTAAAATCTTGCTTGTAAATGAAGTATATTTGAATTAAAATGATTTATATTTGTTATTTTTTTAAACATTTATCATCATCATCATGTTGCCTTTATCCTAATTATTTGGGTCTGCATAAGTTAGTAGCAAAGTAAGTTCATTAAATTATATTGTCTAGGTATACAGAGTGAAATCAAAATAGTAAGAAAACCACTTTTTTAAATAATTTTAGATATCTTTACCAGAGGGAGACTTTGAACAAAAGTCGATTGCTTGGGTACCTCTGTATTCGTGTTTCAACTGTAAAGCAGTAGTTTTTGCATGGCTGTGTTTCGGTTTGTACGGTATAGAAGAATAACACCTGAGTCCTCGCGAATGGCAAGACATGGGGGGTATTGTGGACGAAACAGTACACTGTTATGTTCATGGTACTGCTCATGTCTATAGGCGATGGTTACCACTTTCCATCAGGTGGGCCTTCAGCTTGTTTAAAAAAAAAGAAAACATGAATAAAATATTTACACCTTCCTTACTAGGAATAAGGATCTGAAGTCATAAAGTGGGAAGATGGGTGGACGACCTGAAAGCAGTCTCTAGGTCCCCTTTGGTTACAAGTGACAGCTGATAGAAAACAGTGAAAAGCTCTGGAAGAACAAATGCCAGGGTATATATTTTTTTTTTGATGGGTGAAAATGGAATGGTAACCCCGCCTGCGCTAATGGGATACGCTGGCGGAGCACCAGTGAAGGGTGATAGATGAGAATGAAAACAGGCCAGTTAGCTCATCATGATGAATTCATCAGGACTTAACCGTGATAGTTTCCAGGGAGAACGACGAGTAGGTCGACCTGGTTGGGTATATTGCTAGCAATGGGAGTCTCAGTCTCCATTACTAACAATCCCTTTCCCCCCTAAGTCAAGGTATATTGTAAATAGTTTAACATTATTATTTAAGATAAAATGTACAAATTAGTCTGGAAACAAAGGCTTTATTATTATTATTACTAGGAATAAAACTTATCAAGATGATAACCACACAATAGAAACTAGAAGCCTCTGGAAACTATTGTAGATAATTCCCAGTAAATTCAACACAAGAACAAGGAAGAAACAAGGTACATAAACAATGCAAATTTGGTGCTTCAAATTTATAACTTGGAGAATATGCAATAATTCCATATGAATAGTATTATTTTGGGGGGCGTAACTGTTTTACATTTCTCTCATACCGCCCCTAAAGGCACCACCAGGGTCAGTGGACACCCTACCGCCACTGATATCTAAAATTATATATATTACCTAAAAAATATATTTATTAAATAACATCTAATATTTGCAGCCAACGTCGGAAGCGATTTAATGGACATTTAACAGCAATTAATGGTACCTGTCCGTCGACAGTGGGCAATTTATCCAATTTAACACATTGCGGGGGAGACGATCCAACTAAACAAAGCGGACAAAGTTCACAGAAATAAACAAAACTATAAATATCATATCATTAATTCATATTTGCGTAGACGTAAAGCTATAAAACTACTAATTTACATTGTTATCAATAATTATAATAGCCACAACTATAAACTTACTTTGAATATCACACACAAATTTATTATTTCATTAAGTAAAAGCAGCAATTCATTAACAAGAAAATAAAATAGAAAAATAATAAAAATTAAATATGATTTTTTATTTAATAAAAAAATATGGCTTGAAAAAACACAGAGCGACAATTGAACAATGACATTATTTTTATATGGTGTATATAATACGATAAAATTAAAAACTTGTATATTTTAAATTGAAATTAGTTACTACTTCTTTCATTTATTCATATGTTTACAGGTAGAAGAAAGAGAGAGCTTCGTAAATATGCAATGTTACCTACTTGCCACTAAATTTAATAGAGTTATCACATGACATTAAATTGAACGAATGGAAGTTATTATTAAAAAAAAAAAAAATAGTGTTGTATAATTTATAAAAGGAAATAAAATTTGAAAATATTACAATTACGTATAGTTATTACTGTTCATTTATTTTTAAAAGACTTCAAAGAAGGAGATGTTACTTTATTTTACTATATATTTGTATATATTAATTGCAATATCTTTTTTATTTGTTAACGATTACTAATGATTATCTTTTTAATTTGGATTATAAATTTACTGTCAGGATCTCATCATAATAGTTTTTTTTTTTAATAGATGTCTTCTTCTAAAAATTATAAATCAAATTACTTTGTTTACTCAGTTTATTAATTTGTTTTAAGGTAATAATAATATATTAAGCAATATATTTAATATTGACATAATAATTAATAATTAATGAGCTTAAAAAATAATTTACTTAAATGAATCGATATAAATACTATAAAAAATATAACTTACAATTTTAAAGCATGAAACAAAGTTTATAGCTTTGCATTTATTTTTGTTGTTTATACACTAAAAAGCGGTGCTACACTGCTGCTTGCTAATATTAAAATATATTTTTTAAATTACATTGTGATTATTTATTGCTCGTGTCGAGTGCAAAATTGGGAATAATAATTGAACTTTTAGAACCTGCTGCACTGTTCACAGTAAAACATTGTACTATTTCACATATAACAGTTTTTAAAAGTATTACAAGTCTTTATTTTATTTCCGTTTGGATTGCAAAAATTTGCACACATTTCGAGTATCACTTTTACCACATTCACTTAATTCCGTAATGCTACGCGCTCAGTTTATACTAAGAAGAATACCAATATCTAACAATTAGATTAATAAACTGATGTATTTTTATTTGAATTGAACAATTTTATGATTTAACGACGCACCAAATTTATGCGTATGTTTTTGTAAACGAGCTGCAGTTACTACTTTTCAAATTAAGAGATGGTTTTCTTGTGCTGTTCTCTGATATCAGTAGTTTAAGGTCAAGAGAAAGATAGAATGAATATGTTTATAGTGTATTAGAAAGAGAAGTCGATTACAATCAAGGCAATATAAATGATATATCAATCTAAGGACTTCATCTAAAGATAAAATGTAAAGTATTATGTGACAAAATGCATTTATTTTTTACAATCTTTATATATAGAATAAAAAATTAAGATCGAAGAATGTATTTTCATTGTAAGAGTGAAAATAAAAAAGGTACAAATTATGAAAGTTATAACTCATTATATTATATGTATTAAATAAGGAAATAATTGTACATTAAATAAAATATAGTAAATACTTTATTTTAATAAATTACAGATTATTTAGATTTATATGTTGTGGATTAGTAGTTTTGCTATTACATATTATCCAAAAATCTGTGCGATAAATCTTTAAATTTCTGTCCCCTTGTGTATCTTTCATGATATTGATCGCAACACTTCTGGAATTGCGCATGCGTAAATTTTTGCACATGTGAAGTTTAATCTTTCAATATTAATGCGAATATATTTTTTTTAATGTATTATTAAAATTAAAGTATTTAGAATTATGTAAAGAATTTTAGAGATTGCTATGAAAAATAAATATTTGTTTTTCATAATCAAGTGGTTTTTCAATCGAGTTCGTGAACTTCATGTAGTGATTATCCTGAATCAAAAAACTCGAATAAGAAATCGAATCCTTGTTTGGGTATTCAACAATTTCATTACACCTAACTTATGTTAAAACATAAGTTAGGTGTATAATTGCTGAAGTTTACTGTTAATGAAAAAAATGTATAAATTAATATTTTTTCAATAAACAATTAAAGAAAATAAATAAAATATTGAAATAGAAGAATAAAAAACAACAATGAAGACGGGACTAATATTTGAGTACCATGAGTATTTGAATTTTATTATAATTATAATTTGAAACCATGCCTATATACATAAACAGTAGCATAGCAGAGTATACTGTGTCGCTCATGATACCCTTTGTACGTTACCATCCTGGAGAACTAAGGTGTTAAGTGTCTGTAACCAATAATTTTATTGCCTTATACCACTCTTCAAATGGAAATATTGAAATATTTACCTATCCTAATACAATAATTGATCATTCAACTATCTGAGTACCTAATAGGTATTTGAATAAGTACATAGATTAAAGAGATTCAGTACTCATTTTCGCATGATTCCGCTATTAACTCTGCTAGAAGTACTTAAATTTTTGCAAATTGTACCTAACAATTGAATGAAAACTAAATATCATATGACTCGGACATCACTATTCTATTGTGATTGTGAGTAAATGTCAAAATTTTACCGCGAAATTTTGTCTTTATTTGTTTTTAAATTACATTTGTTTTCTTTTTTTTTTATAAAATGCCAGAAATGATTGGCGATAATGTGCAAATTAAATTGATAAGAAAATATTTAAAGCTGAAAATAGTGGAGAATAATGTGCTCTTTAGGAATCATAACCAAGAAAAGTGTCATGTGTATGATATAATTAAACGGACTATTTTACAAGGGGAATCTCATTCTGCTCTTGTGATAGGGCCTCGGGGTAGCGGCAAAACTACAGTGAGTGCTTTCAACTTGGCAACCGGCAGGATACCTATAAAATTTTCCCATTCTTCTACTGTCTTCAACTTCCGTTTTGTTCTTAACACAATCACACCAGTTATCTTTTCCTCAAGATAGGATACTCTGTGTTATGAGGAATATTAGGTGGCGTAACTGAAAACATCTAGATCTGTGCCAATTTTGGTTTGAAGGGTGGGGTATGGCAGTGAATTAACAAGGTACAGAGGAATATCACCTGAGTCCTCAGGAATGTCAACCCGTAGGGAGTATCATGGGCGAAACAGTATAATTTGTTATGTCCATGGTACTACTCACGTCTATAGGCAAGGGTTACCACTTTCCATCAGCTTGTTTGCCATTATAAGTTGCATAAAAAATATCAAAATAAATACTTTTTTAATTTAGAGTGAGTGTTTTCTTGCATGTAAACACTCCTTCTAAATTCAAAAAGTGTTTATAATGAATGATATTAATGAATAAACTATTAATTTTTCACTCCCGCTGCAAAAAGAGGGGTGTTGTATATTTGATGTGTTTGTCTGTCTGTCTGTGGCATTGTAGCTCCTAAATGAATGGAATTTGTTTGTCATTCTAAGTATCGTAAAGAAAAATATCTTTTAACCTTTTTGCAGCTGATAAACTCTGTACTTTATGAGCTCTCCAAAGAAGTGGACATAGCCAGTGATGCGATCGTAATAAAGTTGAATGGCTTGGTCCATCATGATGACAAGATTGCCCTCAAGTCCATCACAGCCCAGGTACAGACAGTTTCAATAGAACTTAATTATAATTTAGGATGTTTTTCCCAAAAACAAAACACCTATTTCAATTGTGACTAAACCAGATTTCTGTAAGATCAATCTATCCGAAAAATATTTTTTTATCCATTTCAGATAAAATTTTTTTTTTCGAAATTGGTTTACAACTGATGGAGTTTTGAGATTACAAACAAAAAAAACAACAGACTTCAGAACCTTCTTTTTACTTCAAAAAGTACTTATATTATTCTTACCCTTGAAAATACTAATTTATTTTTTCTATCTATCTACCCATGCAAAGTCGTGGCAGGATCGCTTATGGTTCTATAAAAGAAAGAAAGAAAGAAAAATAATTTATTTAGTAACATACATAGACAATGGGGAAGGGATTGTTAGTATTTCAGGCTACCAGCCCATTGGTAGCTAGCTCATATACCCTATCAGGTCGACCTCCATGTGGTTCCTCCTGGAAAACATTGTGCTGAATTCCAAATGTATTCATCATGATGGGCTAACCGACCTGCTTTTTCATTCTCGCTGTCTATCATCTCTCACTGGTGCTTCACCAGTGTATACCGTTAGCACAGGCGAGGTTACCATTCCATTATCTTCCATAAAAAAAACATACATAGATATTACAAAAGGTAACAATAAAAACTAATTCCAGCTCTTACTCAGCACGTGTCAGGAATCCTTACAGCTCACAGATGCTGGTCTTCCGTAAATACTAAAACTAATAAAAAAATATTTAACACCAATTTGGTTTATCCAGATGCAACTGGAAAATGCAGTTGGCGACCGTGTCTTCGGCACCTTCGCCGAGAACCTCTCGTTCCTTCTCAGCTGCCTGCAGAGCGGCGCCGACAGACGCTGCAAGAGTATGGTCTTCGTGTTGGAGGAATTCGACATGTTTTGTCACAGTGGACGCACGCAGACCCTGTTGTATAACTTGTTTGATATCACACATACGAAGCAAGCGCCCATGTGTGTGTTGGGTTAGTATTCATCATCGTCATGTCAGCCTTCAACTGTCCACTGCTGAATATAAACCTCCTTGGGGGGTTTTGCCAGTAGTTGCCACATTTGGCAGGCGGATTGGCAACCGCAGTCAGAATGGCAAACAAGCTGACGGCCCACCTAATGAAAAGTGGTAACCGTCGCCTATAGACATGAGCAGTACCATGGACATAACAGAGTATACTGTTTCACCCATGATACCCCTCATGCGTTGCCATACCTGAGGACTCGAGTGTTATTCTTCTGTACCCAGTAAATTCACGCCATATCCCACCCTTCAAACCAAAACAGCTATGCAAACACAACTACTTCACGGTTGAAACACGAATGGGACAGAGGTACCCAAGCAATCAACTTATGTATCATCATCCCTCGCCCTTCCTTAGTCGGCTCTTACGACATGCACGGGAAAGAAGGGGTGGTCTGTTCTATGCCGGGACCACACGGCAATGTTGGGGCCACACACAGTGCAAACAGCACAAAGTGTATGGGTAAACACAGTGTGGACTGGCTGACTGGCTCAAGACCGTTCCTTGTGGCAGTCTATGGTCGAGAGCTCCAAGGGTCCAGCAGTGGACAGACAATGGCTGAGATGATGAGATAATGAGTGTAGAACAACTAGTGATTCAACGCAATTAATATATTTAATAATAAATTAAAAGATTTTTAATCAAGTTTCAAAAGGCAGGTTAGGTAGACCATCGTGTTGAATTCACTTGGAACTGGACGTGATGGTTTCCATGGAGAATCGCGAGGAGGTCGACCTGACAAAGTGTATTGCTAGCAATGGGCCAATCCCCATTACTAATGGTCCTTTTTTATCTCAGCCCATTGCTAACAATATGTCCTACCAGGTTCAACCTCCAATCGGACCCTTTTGGAAACCGTCACGGTTAATAGTTGAAACTGCCAGGGTAGACCAACTGATCTGGTTTCATCCTCACCTATTATCTCTCACTGGTGCCCCGCCACCGTATACCGATAGCACAGGCAGGGTTACTATTCCATTGTCACCTGAAAAAATCTAGATTTTAATTTCAGGTACAACGAATCGTCTAGACGTTATGGAGTTATTAGAAAAACGAGTCAAGTCTCGTTTCTCCCATCGGCACATATTCCTTTTTTCTAACCAAGATGTAGAAGTGGACGGGCGTGAAGCTCCTGCAAGGTCACCTTTAGAGTTATACAAGGAACTACTAGTTATTCTTTTGAGTATGCCAGCGTGTATTGGCAGGAGAGATGTCGAGGAAACGCCTAGGAGGAGGAAAGCTAAAGGGAAGACGTCAGGTAATCCATGTCCACAGTATAGAAGAGATTTAAAAGATTTTTTTACTACTTTCGTGGTGTTGCGATTGGTACGCTCATTGTATCAGCCATTGACTGCTGAAGATTGACCTTCGCTTTTTGAGGAGTTTTGCCAGTAGTTGCCACGCTTGGCATGCGGGTTGGGAATCGCAGTTAGGATTGGAGATGTTTTAAAAAGGATGCTGCTGCTCATCCCTAGACCATTAAGTTCTCTTAGTTGCCTATTATGATAAATAAATGGAAAAATTTGACAAGAATTAAGGACGATGGTTGCCAGATCTCCAATTTAAAATGGCAAACAAGTTGACGGCCCACCTGTTTGAAAATGGTAACCGTCGCCTACAGATATGAACAGTACCATAGACATAACAGAGTAAACTGTGTTGCCCAAGAAACCCCCCATGCCTTGCCATTCTGGAGGACTAAGGTGTTATGCCTTTATACTCTGTAAATTCACTGCCATATTCCCCCCTTCAAACCGAAACACAGCCAAGCAAACAACTGCTTCACGCTAAAAACACGAATGGGACAGAGATACCCAAGCTGATGTCTTTTATACAAAATCTTCTTCTAGTGAGAGCTTATATCAATGGAGCTATTGTATACTATGTTATTAGTATTCCTTTACCCCTGGGGGGGGGGAAGGGATTGTTAGTAATGCGGACTATCAGTTCCATCACAACCAATATACATTATCAGGTCGACCCTTATGTGGCCTTCCCTGGAAACCATCTGTCGAAATCCAGGTGTATTCATGATCCTGGAGGATGTGCTAATATACCGACGCATCCCCCGAGTGGTAGGGTGAGCACGCCATCCACCCTATCTTGAGAGAGGAGACCTGCTCTTACCATCAGGGGGCGGGTCGCTGCCGTTGGAGATGTGGTGAGTGCGAAAGCGAACCCATGTCTCCGACATATGGCACCTCGAGGGTATATCGTCTGGTTTTTGGTGGGTACACCCCCACCTTACGGGGGGATTCCCACAGTACCCATTCACCTCCCACAAGATGTATGGGTCTGTATAAAGCATTTTCCAGACGTTAAAAAAAAGGTGTATTCATCACGATGGGCTAACTGACCTACCTTTTCATCCTCACCTATCATCCCTTACTGGTGCTCCGCCAGCGTATACCGTTAGCGCAGGTGGGGTTACCATTCAATCATCATTGATTAAAACAAACTTTTTGCCCAAACACACCACTAACGTTTTTGTTTTTTTTTTTTGCAGTAAACATAGATGAATTAATACAGACAGACGATTCAAGTAACTATACGATTCCAATTGAAGATTTGGAAAGGTGTAAAGTGGATATTAAACAGTTTAGATTGGATTCAGCGTTTATTGCAGACTGGAACACTCATATACAGGCGTTGGCTGCAACCGACTCTGTTGTGGACTCGATAGAGAAATTTTGCTATTATATAAACAATGAGCAGATATTCCGAGATATTTTGGTGAGATACATTATTTATTTATTCATTTACACTTTATTGCACCATTTATAAAATAGTAAATACATTTAAATGTAATAAGAAATGACTGAATGATTCGTCCGTGTGCTTGAGCGAGTTTAAGGGACTGCCATGTTGTGAGTTCTTAATTCGATTGTATTTACTTTTTTAAATATTTGTTACTTTTGTTTGTTTTACTAGAGAGAGAATTTGTACAAAGTAGTTTGTTTTGGGCACCTCTGTCCCATTCGTGTTTCGGTTTGAAGGGTGGGATATGACAGTGAATTTACAGGGTACAGAGGATTAACACCTGAGTCCTCAGGAATGACAACTCATGGGGGTATCATGGGCGAAACAGTATACTATGTTATGTCTATGGTACTGCTCATGTCTATAGGCGACGGTTACCATTTTCCATCAGGTGGGCCGTCAGTTTGTTTGCCATTCTAAGTTGTATAAAAAAGCCTTTGGATGGAGAAGAGTTAGATACGGTAATTATAAACAGTTTGATTGTAGTTTATAAATTAACAGTTTCAGATAGTGTCACATCTTTCACCAAACAAACCGTACATCGACGCAACGGATGTCACCGCGACCATAGACAAAACAGTGGCGCCGGAGCATAGAGTGAAGCTGTTACAGTCGTTGTCTATACTCGAGTTGTCTCTGGTCATAGCGATGAAACATGGCATGGAGATCTTCGACGGGCAACCAATGAATTTTGAAATGGTTCTGCATAGGTATGTCGGTTACTATGTTTTTTTTTTTTAATAGCCATTTGTATAAGTAAATCAATGACATATGCCACTTTTAGATGGCATATCGAGACGAAACATATTTTTGGGTTTTAAGTTAGATCTTCAGGAATAGAACTGTGAAAGCCGCATTCAATATCGTGCAGAACTTTTTTTTTATATACAACTTAGAATGGCAAACACGCTGACGGTCCACCTGATGGAAAGTGGTAACCGTCGTCTATAGACATGAGCAGTACCATGGACATAACAGGGTATACTGTTTCGCGCATGATACCCCCCATGCGTTACCATTCCTGAGGACTCAGGTGTTATTCCTCTGTATCCTGTAAATTCACGCCATATCCCACCCTTCAAACCGAAACACAGCCATGCAAACACAGCTGCTTCATGGTAGAAACACGAATGGGACAGAGGTACCCAGGCAATCGACTTTTGTACAAAGTCTCCCTCCTCTCATTCTATGCCGGGACCACATGGCAATCATCTAGTTACTAAAATGATATTTTTCCATTGCAGGTACACAAAATTTGCAAACGCCAATTCCTCAACGCAGACTGTACCCAGACCAGTCATATTGAAGGCATTCGAGCATCTGCAAGCCTTGGAAATAATTCTACCAGTTCGTAATTCCGACTCGATATACAATGCAAGCGACACCACTGCTAGTAGAGTGCAGAAGGAATATAAATTATACACTCTGGCGGTACCCATTGAGGACATCAACGAAGCCGTGAAGAATTTCAAGGCTCTGCCCACAGAAATCAGTCACTGGTACAATAATTCTGTAGTTTGATTGAAACAATATACCGTTTACTACAGGAAGAGTTTGTATAAAAGTTCTTTGCATGGGTACTTTTGTCCCATTCGTGTTTCTGCCGTGAAGCAGTTGTTTGTTTCAATATGAAGGCAGTGTAGTTTTGTTTTAGATGGGTGAAAATGGTATGGTAACCCCGCCTGCGCTAACGGGATACGCTGGCGGAGCACCAGTGAAGGGACAATGAAAACAGGCCAGTAAGCCCTTCATGATGAATTCATCAGGAATTAACCATGATAGTTTCCAGGGAGAACCGCGAGGAGGTGGACCTGGTTGGGTATATTGCTAGCATGGGATTCTCAGTCTCCATTACTAACAATCCCTTTCCCCCCGGCAATGTAGTTATTAGGTATGAAGGCATAACACATTAGACTGCTGAAGGGGGAAAGGGATTATTAGTATTGCGGATTACCAGCCCCATTGCTAGCAATATACCCTGTCAGCTCGACCTCCACATGGACCCCCTTGAAATTGTGCTGAATCCCAGGTGCATTAATCACGATGGGCTAATTGACCTGCCTTTTCATTCTCACCTATCATCTCTTATTGGTGCCCCGTCAGCGTATACCGTTAGTGCAGGCGGGGTTACCATTCCATTATCATCCATTAAAAAAACGCATTAGGTAGGAAGTCTGTCTCTGGTATTACTACTTTCCATTAAATATGTCGTCACTTCATCATGGACATCAGAGAATACTCTAATGCCATGGTACCCATGAGTTGCCATTCTTGAAAACTAAGGTGTTATACCTGTTTTTACTCTGTAATTAGATTGCCATTATGTCACTCTTCAAAGTGTTTTTTTTTTTTATAATTTCAATTGCAAATGTTAGTATTTTGTTTTAATATATTTTTTTTTTGTAAAATAATAAAAAAAAGTATTTTTCTATAACTATTTTTTTATTTACAGTCGATATCACATAATTAGAATTAATTATTTGGTTACAATAGATTAAATTTTTATTTCTTATTTATAAAAAAAGTCAAATTGTATTACTGTTTTAAATGAGAAAGTTTGTAAGGGTGTATGGATGGGTAAGAATGTATGTATGGACGGGTCGTACATATTTACATGTGTCCTCGTCATATCGTCTCATCGCCATTGTTACTATCATACAAAAACTATTGAATGGATTTGAATTTAATTTGGTACATGGGTAGGTTATATTCTAACTTATCATATATTTTATATAAGTATTCTGCAGGAAATAGCTAATATCTAAAATATATAGATATTGCTATATATCAGGGTTGACCAATTGGACTATTAGTGCAGTAGATCGTAGCAAGGCAAAAAATATAATATTTTGCTAATCTAGCGGAAGATGCTCAGACGCAATGCTCACACTAATATAAATAAGTAGTTACTAAGAAAAAGTTTCAGTGATATGTGTTCTCTCTTAATAAAAATAAAAAAAAAAATATTACATAATTGTGTACAGAACTATGTTGTTTCATTTGAGATTTTAGGAAGTATGTAATTAGTAGGTTGCACAGGGTTTCGTCAGTAAACAGTAGATCTTGGGTCTAGTCAAGTCTGCCACCCCTGCTATATTATCCACCCCCTAAATTTTATTGACTTGTATTCCTAATTTAAAATTTAATTTACCCATCTCAGATTTGTATCAGCAGTCGATACATCCCTCTTGTAGTCATCTTCCCCGAATCTGTGCCTAAACCTGTCTTGACTAGCATTAATCTCTTCTACGTCCTTCAATTCGATCACAGACAATTCCTTTAACTTTTTCCCTTTGACACCTTCTACTTCCGGCGCGATACGAACGCGCGATGGCCCGCCATTTTTGAATTCCGCGCCGTCCAGCTCGTGCGCCATAGAGTCGAGCGCTCTATGCAAATCGTTTTCAGGGTTGCCAGGGCGTTTGTTTAAAAATCCATTTTTGTATGCGCCTTCGTGTTGGTTTTGATCGTTTATGAATCCGTTATTCGTAAATAAACGAAGTTTGTTGCCTTTCTTTTGATTTGACTGCATCTGATAAGTACATACAAATTATAAATAATGTTTACAGTAGGTTTTTTTATACAACAGATCCGATATATTAAAGGGGGCAGGGAGAATGTTGGGATAAGGGCAGCCTGCTGGCAGCCCTATTATTAGCAATACACTCCCAGCTCCACTGAAAACTATCGGTGTTAATTCCTGGTGATTTTTTCATGATGGTGGTCCATCCATTGACTTGACTTTATCTTCATCTATCATCACTCACTAGTGCCTCGCCAGTGCATACCAATAGAAAGAACGGGGAAACCATTCCATTATCATCTCATTAAAAAAAATAGAGAGTTCTTAAGAAAAGAATGAGTACAATAGCACACATAAGTTTGCTATCTTCAAAGGTATATGTATGTATAATTTTTACTAATATTATAAATATAAAAGTGAGTTTGTTTGTTTGGTAGGAAATTTGGTATACACTACTCTTAGATTATATAGATAGAGTGTCTCCATAGAGACAAATGCTTCGAAAAAAGCGATTCAACTTTTTCATACAATTTTGGGTGATAAATAATTATGAGTGATTCCTTTATAACTTTTATATTTATTTTATTTTATAATTTCTGCATCTTTTTAGTGTGTAAACACTCATTTTATTCATTGAATAATACGTCAAGATACATTGTATGCGTAAGTATATAGAATATTAATAAAAAAACGAGTTAGCTATTTTGAAAATTAGCTGACAAAAAGTTGACCCGTTTTTGAGGCTCGATGCTCTATCTATATAATCTAAGACACTATGGTATGGAGAAGAGCATAGACTACTTTTTATGCTAATCAATAAGCATATCCACGGGGCCCACCATGAAATGAAATTCCGAAGTTTCGGACTCAATTTCGTGTTTTTGTTCATACCTAAATCGGCCCAGTAAATGGAGCTTAATATTTCATTCGTCATAAGTACTATCATAAAAGTCCAAAGGAATAATATTTTAATATTTTTAAAAGGTAAGTATTATGTAATTTTAACATCAAATTTGTATTTCGTTCGGTTTCGAAATTTCGGAAAACATTTGGCCCAACATGGTAGGCTCTCTGGTCACGCGTACGAAATCGCGGGTAAAAACTAGTCTATTTTACTGAACTAGGTGTTATTTTGCGTTTTGATTATTTGATTGGTATTATTTTGTTTAATTCCGCCACCATTAGTATGATTACCAACTGAAAGGTTGTGAAACTTCTGCTAGTAATAGTGATCAATCTTCGAGTGTTGCCAGTTGCACACATATCGTCGTAGTCGTAGAATACTGACGGATCTATATTATGTAATATTTATTTATTAATTAGTACATATATGTGTACATGGCGGACTTAATGCTAAAAGCACTCTCTCCCAGTCAACCGTAGGGAAGTGTCAGAATACTCGAATGCGGTACTAGTAATTATTGATATACATACATACTAAAATTACATAAATATAAACGAATAAATATATATAAATAACAAATATACTTACACATATATAACATATACTGTATTATACACGAATTTGGGAATAATATAAAGCACTTACTGCTCGGATAAAGTAAAAAAGTGAGTATGAACGTTTTTTTTTGAAAGACGGTTTAGTCGGTAGTCTCTTAATGGCATCAGGATCCGTCAAGATCCGTCAGTACTCTACGACTATGACGATATTAATGGTGGCGGAATTAAACAAAACGAATAACCAAAGCTAGGTTAGTACAGGTAAGAGTTACCTCTTTGAGCTTGTCGACGACTAGGCTGTGCCCAGTGTTGACACCAATACCTCCTATTTCTTCGATACTGTTGGAGCGATGGTACGGCCGCAGGGCTGACACAGCGCGCGAGATGCCCACCTTGTAAATTTTAATTTGCATGATATTAGTGCTCTGAGGAATTGTTTGGATTGATACCTGCTGCTGATTTACACTATCGTACAACCCGCTACAAACTAAAGTTCCATCCCAACTAACTGGACGAGTGGCGGTCCTCCACCGTGCGTTTTACAAGGCACTTTCGTCTCCTTTTTTTTATACAACTTAGAATGTCAAACAAGCTGACGGCCCACCTGATGGAAAGTGGTAACCGTCGCCTATAAACATGAGCAGTACCACGGACATAACAGTTTCGCCCATGATACACCCCCATGCGTTGTCATTCCTGAGTACTCAGATGTTATTCCTCTGTACCCTGTAAATTCACGCCATATCACATATCGTCTACGTACAACCACTCTTTGGAATCGACATCCAGCAGCATTATTTCCGAACCGATACGACAACATAACCTTCAAGAAGAGAGCATATTCCTTTTTAAAAGGCCGGCAGCACACCTGCAATGCCGTTGGTGTTGTGGGTGATCATGGGCGGCGGTAGTCACTTACTATCATACCAGACGGAGACTTTGTACAAAAGTCGTTTGCTTGGGTACCATTCGTGTTTCAACCGTAAAGCAGTTGTGTTTGCATGGCTGTGTTTCGGTTTGAAGGGTGGGATATGGCGTGAATTTACTGGGTACAGAGGAATAACACCCGAGTCCTCAAAATGGCAACGCATGGGGGTATCATGGGCGAAACAGTATACTCTGTTATGTCCATGGTACTGCTCATGTCTATAGACGACGGTTACCACTTTCCATCAGGTGGGCCGTCAGCTTGTTTGCCATTCTAAGTTGTATAAAAAAAAAGAATAATTAATTACATAAAAGCAAGATAAAGAGGCAACAATGGGCGACCTTATCGCTAAACAGAAATCTCTTCATACATTGAACGTTAAAAATTAGTAAAAAAAAGACATTTACCTGACCATGTCGTATCCTGTGCTCGGTCAGATCGGCCCCCAGCAGCTCCTCATAGGGGTCCATCCTGATAGCCATCACTTTATCGATGAGCCATAATAATGCCATAGTCACCACGATGGCCCACGTCATCAGGCACACAGCTGTGAGGGTCTGTACGCCAAGGAGGTACCAACCACCGCCTGAAGGGGAAAAGAGATAAAAATAATGAGGTCTACCAGACACATTGCTAGTAATGCATGTCCATTAAGTCGACCTCCACGTGGTTGCCTCTGGAAACTGGAAAGCGTTGTGGCTGCTTCTTGAATTGGTCACTATGTGGCAACTGACCTGCTTTCACCATTACCTATCATCCCTCACTGGTACGCCGGCAGCGTATAGCAATAGCGCAGACGAGGTTACCATTCTATTATCACCTACAAAAAAAATCCCGAATGATTCTGAAACTAGACGGAGTTTTCTTGACCACATTTTAAATTAAAAACTTTTTAACTTTTTCTTTTTTAAAAGCCCGGCAGTACATCTGTAACGTTTTATAGACGGCGGTACTCACTTGCCATCAGGCGAGCTGCATGCTCATTTGTCCTTGTGTTGTAAAAAAACCTACCTTTGAATAATCCAGATCTTCCATTGGTCGTTTCCAAAGGTATTGGGTTGTCGGCGAACAGACCAACCGCTATTACACCTGGTAAATAATAAATACAAGGCAGTATTAATGGTAGGCCCCATGTGGTCCCAGCATAGAATAGGCCACCTCTTTCTTTCCCGTGGGTGTCGTAAGAGGCGACTAAGGAAGGGCGAGGGATGGACAGCAGCGTCCCTTTTAAAACATCTCTAAAGCCGAATTGCGGTTGTCAATCCGCCTGCCAAGCGTGGCAATTACTGGCAAAACCTCCTTAGGGGGAGGCTTATGTACAGTAGTGGAAAGTTGAAAGCTGATATGATTACGTATTATAAAGTCAGAAAAGTGATTTTATAGGCTTTATTTCGTATTTTTAATTGTGTTGTAATTTTCCTATAATAATGTCTCCCTTGGGGGGATTTATGTTCAGCAGTGGACAGCTTATGTCTTCAAATTTTCTGGTATTTTGGATGAAAAGATGTGTTTCAAAAGACGTTTTTACTAAATTATGAAGTGATCAATCTGGGGTTATGAGTAAATGTTACTTTCACCAAAGACACAATCGAATTCAGAGCCTTTTCGAATGGAATTGGTTTGACTTACCCCAGATACCGCAGGCCCCGTGTACGGCGGAGGCGCCCACTGGGTCGTCGACCTTCATCTTGTCGAATAGAGGGCCAGAGATGGACGCTATAGCTGCTCCTATCATGCCGATTAGCAGGGCCTCCCAGGCGCGGTACAGAAAACAGCCAGCTGGGAATAAAGCGACGGTAGGTACAGTTAGAAGGGGGTAGAAATTAACCTCGATAGTTTTTAGGGGGGATTGCGTGAAGTTCGACCTGACCTGGTGTCGTTCATATCAATGAAACAGAACCACCTTATCATCGCACCGTCCGCCGTCGATAGGGAATTTATCTTCACACGTTAAAACCTTAATGGTCTTGTACAGTGGGGTTTCAAAGGAAGTTTTTTCCGTGAACGCTCGGGCTTCGGCATGAGCTCTCTGCCGAGACACATTTTCCCCAAAGACTACAGTATGGGGTTTTTCAAAAAAGGGTATCTTAATATGCCTTTGCCCTTAACTATCTTTATATGCGTTGCCGAGCATTAAGAAACTTTATTTTTTTCCTGATTGGTAACGCATCCGTGACATTTCTAATATAGCAGGCGTTCATAGTATTGTTTGTAAGTATTGTTCATCATCATGCAGGGTTAATGACTTTTTTGCTATTTTACTTAATTATAAGGCAAAATTTCATCAAAGATTAATGACAACAAGTAATCATATTGTAAAGACGGTATTCCTCACAGCATACCTGACGACAAAAGATTTTATAATGAAATAATATAAATTTGTATTTTGTTATTAATGTGTATTTTAACAATAATAGTTTGTATAATTAATAATGTAACTGTAAACTATGGGTATATACCTGAAAATAAAGCGAAGCGACCGCAGTGAGCATTTACCATAAGACGGGCTGTTGCTGCTTGTTTGCCGTCTATGTGGTATAAAAAAAAATTAAAGATTTTAGACGGTACTATGCCCTGAAAGTAATTATACTCACCAGTTATAGAGACGAGGGCACCTAGGATGCTGTTAATTAGTTCCATAACTTCAGCTTTGCCTTTGTTCTTTATCAATGTGAATCTGCCAAAAAAAAAAATTAAATTCCATAATCTTTTGAGGGCAAAGCAATTAACTGAGTTGTGACCGTTTTGTATTGTTATGGCACACGCACAAAATGAAAAAGTGTATTTGGCTTTATCTATTTTTTTTAATCATTTATGTTATCTCGCTTTTTATGTATATCTGTACATGTTTTTTTTTATACAACTTAAAATGGCAAACAAGCTGACGGCCCACCTGATGGAAAGTGGTCACCGTCGCCTATAGACATGAGCAGTACCATGGACATAACAGAGTATACTGTTTCGCCCATGATACCACCCACGCGTTGCCATTCCTGAGGACTCAGGTGTTATTCCTCTGTACCCAGTAAATTCACGCCATATCCCACCCTTCAAACCGAAACACAGCCATGCAAACACAACTGCTTCTCGGTTGAAACACGAATGGGATAGAGGTATCCAAGCAATTGACTTTTGTACAAAGTCTCCCTCCGGTAAATAATGTAATACTGGTAAATACATGTTATAATTTGTGTGCTGTAAGTAATGCAAATAAATTATCTATCTATCTATCTAAATTATACTGAATGGGCCACCCGTTCCGTTCGTGTGGATGTCGTAAGATTAAGGGAACTTAATGGTCGAATAAGACAGCGGCGTCTCTCTTAAAACATCTCTAATGCCTAACTGCGGTTGCCAACTCGCCCGCAAAGTGTGCCAACTACTGGCCAAACATTTATTATTGGGAAGGCCTATGTTCAGCAGCGGCCGGTTAACGGCTGATATGATGATGATGATGATGATGAACATGGTGTTATACTATTGTACTCTGTAATTTAACTGCCATAAGGATGGGAAACTTTCAAACCGAAACTCCATGTAGGCACAGTTTTTTTTTATGGGTGAAAATGGTATGGTAACTCCGCCTGCGCTAACGGGATACGCTGGCGGAGCACCAGTGAAGGGTGATAGGTGAGAATGAAAACAGGTCCGTTAGCCCATCATGATGAATTCCTTAGGAATTAACCATGATAGTTTCCAGGGGGAATCGTGAGGAGGTCGACTTGTTAGGGTATATTGCTAGCAATGGGATTCTCAGTCTCCATTACTAACAATTCCTTTCCCCTCATGTAGGGACAGTTGCCTTACGACAGAAACACGAGTGGGACAGAGGTACACAAGCAGATGACTTTATATAAAGTTTCATTGGTAAAACGCGTATCAAAACTAATATTATAAAGAAGAAAGATTTGGAATTTGTACTAAAGTAATTTTCTTGAGTACCTCTGTCCTATTTCGTGTTTCTACCGTGAAGTAGTCGTGTTTACATGGCTATGTTTCTGTTTGAATAGTGGGATATGGCAGTGAATTTACAGGATACAGAGGAATAACACCTGAGTCCTCAGGAATGGTAACGAAACAGTATACTCTGTTATGTCCATGGTACTGCTCATGTCTATAGGCGACGGTTACCACTTTCCCTCAGGTGGGCCGTCAGCTTGTTTGCCACTTTAGAGTGGCAAACAAGCTGACGGCCCACCTTTGTCAATTTTAAACAATTTTTTTTTAAACTTAGGTTTAAAAAAAAATTGTTTAAAATTGACAAACTCAATAATAACTCAAGTGATTTTTAAAATTTCTTTCACCTATAGAAAGTCACATTATCAGAGATTAATATGGGCTATATTTTCGAGAAAATCATGCAAAGCCAAGACTTTTTTTAAGCCACAAAGATGGTAAACAAGCATACAGACCGTCTGATAGTAAACGGTCACTGTAGTCTATGGTCGCCTGTAACACTAGGGGTGTCAAGTGCGCGTTGTCGACCCTGAAAAAACCTTAATATACCCTTTTTGAAGAACCCCATAGTGTAATCTCTAGGGAAAACCTTGGCTATGAGCTCATTCCACAGCCTGAGCGTTTCCAGGGAGAACCGCGTGGAGGTTGATGTAGTAGGGTGTATTGCTAGCAATAGGGCTGTTAAATCTCATTACTAACAATCCCTTTCCCCCCAATATATATATTGAATGTATACTTGCAGGAGTCCGAAGCAGCCGCCTCCAAATGAGCCCATCATTGTCATCACAGCTGCTCTAGCCGCGTACTGCCATTTTGCTCCGCTAACCTTTTAATCAAATTCATAAAAATAAATGCGAATTTGTAACGATGGATGAGAAGATAAATGTTTATTTATGTATTTAAATGTTTGTTACTCTTTCACATATAACCTACTAAACGGATTTGAGTTTTTTTTTATAACTTAGAATCGCAAACAAGCCCACCTAATGGAAAGTGGTAACCGTCGCCTATAGACATAAGCAGTACCATGGACATAACAGTGTATACTGTTTCGCCCATGATACCCCCCATGGGTTGCCATTCCTGAGGACTCAGGTGTTATTCCTCTGTACTCAGTAAATTCACACCATATCCCACCCTTCAAACCGTACATGGATAGGTTTTTTTAATAGTAACCCCGCCTGGGCTGGGGTTATCGTGGGCAAAACAGTATACTCTGTTATGTCCATGGTACTGCTCTTGTATATAGGCGACGGTTACCACTTTCCATCAGGTGGGCCGTCAGCTTGTTTGCCATTCTAAGTAGTATAAAAAATGCTGTAGTCTCTTGGAAAAACCTCGTTAATGCTTATTTTTTAACTAGATCACATCAACCGGGTTAACCATCATAAATATTCAATTCCACTAATACACATAATTTGCAGAATTTTCTCTTAATAGCAAACATTGGCGTGCTATAAATTGACGGACATTTTGTTTAACTACGCCACTTAACGTGGGTTATTTAAGTGAATACGGATAACAGAGCGGAATAATTTAATACTAATTGGTTAAAGACTAAATTAACTATTCATGGTTAAAGATAAATTGTTTGTAATATGTCCCTGGCATTGAAATGTACGTAGTTTTATCTTTATGATTTATTTCTATAGAATTTAATGAGAAGCCAAGTTTCAATGGATCATACATTTATTTTGTGAATAATTACGTACATACATAATAAAAATATATTTACATACATAAAAAATAAATCCGTAAGAAATTTATAAAATTTACATTTGGAGTATAGCATTTTATAGGTGTGAAACATGCGTTTTACTTATATACATATATTTTATATACCAGAGGGAGACTTTGTACAAAAGCCGTTTGCTTGGCCACCTCTGTCGCATTCATGTTCTACCGTGAAACAGTTGTGTTCGCATGGCTGTGTTTCGGTTTGAAGGGCGAGATATGGCAGTGAATTTACAGGGTACAGAGGAATAACAACAGGAAAAACTCAGGGGGAAAGGGATTGTTAGTAATGGAGACTGAGAATCCCATTGCTAGCAATATACCCAACCAGGTCGATCTCCTCGCGGTTTCCCCTGGAAACTATCATAATTAATTCCTGATGAACTCATCATGATGGGCTAACTGGCCTGTTTTCATTCCCATCTATCACTCTTAAGTGGTGCTCCGCCAGCGTATCCCGTTAGCGCAGGCGGGGTTACCATTCCATTTTCACCCATCAAAAAACACCTGATTACTTAGGAATGGCAACGCATGGGGGTACCATGGGCGAAACAGTATACTCTGTTATGTCCATGGTACTGCTCATGTCTATAGGCGACGGTTATCAGTTTCCATCAGGTGGGCCGTCAGCCTGTTTGACATTCTAAGTTGTATAAAAAAATATTTAAATAGACTATAAATCATAATTAAATAACTAGCGAATTTTGCGTTAGTTCGGCCATTTCTAGAGCATGGATGAAAATTTTACGAAAGAGATTTATCGAGCACAAATGAATGGAGATGTCGGTAGGGGCCGCCCTAGACGGACGTATGTCGACCAAATAGGCGACGTGCTGAAGAAGGGCCAAATTAAAAGTACCCGTAACCGGCGAGCGTGTATGAAGAGATTGATGAATGTGGAAGGAGCGAAAGAGGTTTGTTTGAATCGAAGCATTTGGCGTTCCATTGTTTCTGCCTACCCTAATGGGAGACAGACGTGGCACATATGTATGTGTGTACAATAAATTGTATTTTTAACATATTTCTATTGTTTCTGTCATATAAAGTTACTTACTCCATAAGTGCTCCCGGAGTTAAATGCCAACCAGCCCCACCAGAGGACAAATGTCCCCATCACGGCATTGACAGGGTTCCCCAGGGGCAGTGGCGCGTTCCCGTTGGCGTATCGCCCCAATCGGGGACCCAGCATCAATGCAGAAGCGAACGCTGATGAGCCACCTATGTGTAACAAATAAAAAATATTTATAAAATAGTTTTATAGAAAAAAACAACTCTGAATAGAATGAACTATGGCGTAAGAGGCGACTAAGGGAACTTAATAGTCTAGGGATGAGCAGTAGCCTCTTAAAACATTACCAAAAGCCTAACTGCAATTGCCAATCCGCCTGCCAAGCGTGGCAACTACTGGCAAAGCTCCCAAGGGGAAAGCCTATGTTCAGCAGTGAATAGGGAAAAAAACCATGAATTAAATAACCCTAACACATTCTTTATTTCATATTAAACTAGTTGTTTCCCGCGGTTTCACTCACTTGAATTCTTTCATATTTATAATATGTATTAGTATATTACAAATGTGGAAGTGTGTCTGTTTGTTTGTTTGATACCTCTTAGTGCCTTAACGGCTTAACCAAACATAGATGGAGAAAAGATATCATTACTGGGGACTACAGCCCCATCACTACCCTGCCAGGTCGACCTACATTCGATTCCTTTAGCAATGATCGTGGTTAATTCTTGTAGAATCCGTCACGAAAGGCTAACTGACCTGCTTCATCCTCATCTATCATTCCTCACTGGTGCCCCGCTGGTATATACTGATAGCGCAGGCGGGGTTACTATTTCATTTTCACCCATGAAAAAAAATTTATATATTTATTTATTCATTAGTACCAATATGTGTACATGGCGGACTTAATGCTAAAAGCATTCTCTCCCAGTCAACCATAGGGAAGTGTCAGAATACTCGAATGCGGTACTAGTAATTATTGATATACATACATACTAAAATTACATATATAAACGAATAAATATATATGAATAACAAATATACTTACACATATATGACATAAACTATATTGTAAACGAAATTGAGAATAATATAAAGCACTTACTGCTCGGATAAAGTAAAAAAGTGAACGTGAACGTTTTTTTGAAAGACGGTTTTTTTAATATACTGCCAGCAATGGGGCTGCAAGTCCCCATTACTAACAATGTCCTCTTCCTTCCTCCTGTGCATTTGTAACACGTACCAATGAGGTGTACAGGTCCAGAGCCCGCGATGTCGACAGCTCCCAGCTTGTTGAGGAACCCATGGGAACCCCACACCCAGCCGGCCGGCACGCAGTACACGATTGTGTTCAGGAATGAGAACATGCAGTACGCCTTGAAGTTACATCTGATGGTAAAAACCATACTTTATTTTGTGTCCCATTAAAAAAACTTCAATTGTAGGAAAACCAATTTTTTTGGTTAAAAAACAGAATTAAATATAAGTAGTTTTGTTTCCAATGCATCATAATGGAATGGTAAGGTCCCGCCTGTGGTAACGGTATACGTTGACGAGGCACCAGTGAGGGATGATAGGTGAGAATGAAAAGGCAGGTCAGTTAGCTTATTGTAATGAATACATTTGGAATTAAGCATGATGGTTTCCAGGGGGACCACGGGGAGGTCGACCTGACAGGGTATATTGCTAGCAATGCGACTAATATTCGCTATTATTAACAATCCCACCCCCCAATATCAGAAGTTATTGTGACAAACAGACATAGTGACATTACATTACATTACATTACCAGAGGGAGACTTTGTACAAAAGTCGATTGCTTGGGTACCTCTGTTCCATTTTTGTTTCTACCTGTTTTTGTTAAGCAGTTGTGTTTGCATGGCTGTGTTTTGGTTTGAAGGGTGGGATATGGCAGTGAATTTACAGAGTACAGACGAATAACACCTGAGTCCTCAGGAATGACAACGCATGGGGGGCATTATGGGCGAAACAGTATACTCTGATATGTCCATAGTACTGCTCATGTCTATAGGCAACGGTTATCACTTTGCATCAGGTGGGCCGTCAGCTTGTTTGCCATTCTAAGTTGTATAAAAAAACTTTTAATTTTTGTTACAATAAATAGAAAAAAAAAGTATTATATACTTTAGGAGTTTTTTTTTTTACGAGTATATCTATGAGTTTAACCTTTAGTGAGTTCCAATAATTTTCTCACCTCTCCGCCATAGCTCCGCTGACTATGGTAGTGGCAGTGGTTGCAAAAGATAGCTGGAACAGGAACGACGCGAAGACGGGGCCCATGAGGGCGTCGCCCACCGGTGGGTCCACCAGGAAGTCGCCCACCCCGATGAATGGATTCGAGAAGGCGCCTTCGCCGAATGACATACCATATCCAAATATCCAGTATGTCAGGCCTAAAATGTAATGCATTAGAATTCTACCGAATTTATCATGGGATGTGCTCTGAGAAATTGTTCGGATTGATACCCGCTGCTGACTTTCACCACCGTATAACCCGCCATAAACTAAAATTTCATCCCAACCACCTGGACGAGTGGCGGTCCTTCACCGTGCGATTTTCAAGACACTTTCTTCCACGCACTCTTTGGAATCAACTTCCAGCAGCAGTATTTCCGAAGCGATACGACAACATAATCTTCAAGAAAAGAGCATATTCCTTTTTAAAAGGCCGGCAGCACACCTGCAATGCTGTTAGTATTGCGGGTGATCATGGGCGGCGGTAGTCACTTGCCATTATGTGAGCCGCATGCTCGTTTGCCCCCTGTATTGTAAAAAAAAATATTTGTCACGCCTGTCTTCCATTAGGGTAGGCAGAAATCGTATAGAATATTGGTATATATAATATAGAGGTAGTATAAATACTTTTCTCTTACCGCCCAAAGAGATGTCAGCCAAATTTTTCATCATAATGTTGGCTTCGTTCTTTATTGATACACATCCTGATTCCAGCATGCCAAAACCTAGGATAATATTTTTTCGATTAAGTGTGACACAATCATACAAGTTGTCCGGTCTTCAAGTTAAGATGTCTTATGTTATTAGGAATCAAGCTAGAATACTCTAGGGCCACAAATTAGAATGCCCAGATCCGAATCGATACTGAAAAAATTGCTTTACTTTAGGTCCGGTTGGAAATCGGATTTGTGACCTCATTTCTGCAAGTACTTAAATTAATAAATTTATTTTATTTTTATTTATTACAAAGTTATATAAATAATTAATTACATACATTTACAAAATATTACGTGGTAATACATGCATGCTGATTATATGTAATTTATAATGTTTTAATCAAAAAATAAAATAATTTAAAAATTAATCAAAGTAAATTATATATATAAAGGGAAAAAATGTTGGGAAACTTGATACGACACGACGACCTTATGAAAATTATAATATAAGGTAAAATAGAAGAAAGGAGGGGAAAAGGGAGACTAACGCATAGTTACATCAAGGAAAAGGTTTTTTTTTATATGACTTAGAATGGCAAACAAGCTGACGGCCCACCTAATGGAAAGTGGTGACCATCGCCTATAGACATGAGCAGTACCATGGACATAACAGAGTATACTGGTACGCCCATGATACCCCCATGCGTTGCCATTCCTGAGAACTCAGGTGTTAATCCTCTGTACCCAGTAAATTCACGCCATATCCCACCCTTCAAACCGAAACACAGCCATGCAAACACAACTGATTCACGGTTGAAACACGAATGGGACAGCGGTACCCAAGCAATCGACTTTTGTACAAACTCCCTCTGGTAGATTAGGTAAGTAGAGTATAAGATTAGTAGAGCTAGGTATGTCGGTGTCGTGTCGTGTCGTATCAAGAGGTGAAGAGACTCGCTGAAAATCGTAGTGAGTGGCAAGAGCTCCACCGACAAGAGCGCAGCTCTTAAATAGATAGATAGATAGATAGAACTTATATTTATAATCCATATCCGACCCAAAGGTCCCCATAAAAATTGCGGCATTTCCACGTTGCTCCAGGGCCAAAACATAAAAGAGTCATATCCCCAGAATCAAATCCAATAATAAAGAAAACAAAAGTCAATGAAAAACGACAAACAGAGTCCAATAAATTAAAAAATAATATGAATGTAGTAGATCTCACTATAGAAACAAGTAATAAGTTTGATGGCTTGAACACAGATGTAGAAGACAGTGAAGCTGTAATAAATAAAACAAAAAAGATATCTTCTAAACCACCACCTATAATTCTATATGGAATCGAGGACCTCAGCAAACTTGCCAAATTTATCGAAGAAGTAATAGGTAAAGAAGACTACACATTCAAAATAACTTCCAAAAATCAATTAATTATATCCTCATTCAATGTTGAAAAATATAAGTCACTTATTGAGCACATACGAAGCAAAGGCCTAATTGGACACACTTTTACAAGAAAAGAAGAACGATGCCAAAAGATTGTCATCAAACACCTTCATCATTCCACTCCCAAAGAAGAAATAATAAAAGCTATAGAAGAAACAGGAAATAAAGTTAAAGGCGAAATAATAATTGCAAGAGTCAAAGGAACAAAAGAACCTCTTAATACTTTTTTTGTAAATCTAGAGCCACATGAAAACAATAAAAGAGTCAAAGACATAACCTACATCTATCACCAGCGGATACAAATACAGGATCCAAAAAAAACTAGCAATATAGTACAGTGCATGAGATGTCAACAGTACGGTCATAGTAAAAACAATTGCATGAGACCCTTTCGATGCGTTAAGTGTGCCGGACCTCACAAAACTACAGATTGCAATATCGGGAAAAATGTTCCAGCTCTATGTGCGCTGTGTTCAGGGCAACATCCAGCTAACTACAAAGGCTGTCAAGTTTACAAAGAAATAAGAGCAAGGAAGATGAGAAAAAATATCCAGAGACCGCAAAATTCTAATAAACTAATTGACATTACAAACAATAAATCAGAATACCCACCATTACCTAAAATAAACAAGAAACAAGATCCAAAAGAAGAAATATATATGAAAGAAACCCAGAATAAAATAATACCTGCATACAGCGAGATAGTAAATAAAATAGAAACTAATTTTAAAGTGAACACACGGAAAGATCAAAAAACAAGAACAGATGACTCTAAGTCACAGAGAAACAATCGTAACGACTATGAAAGTAACGCAAGTAAAATAAATTCACATGAAACTACCACCTTACATAGAATCGAAGAGCTATTCTTAAAACAGTCAGAAAAAGTCGACCGTATCTTAGAAACCATGACTTCACTGATGAATCTTGTCACAAAGCTAATCAGTAAGAATGTCTAAAATGGATTTTAAAATAGCAACATGGAACATAAACGGCTTACTTCCCAATAGTGACCAGTTAGAGATTCTAATAAAAACACATAAACTTGATGTCATCCTCATATCAGAGACACACCTTAATAATAGTAAAACATATAAACTAAAAGGCTATGATGTCTATAATACTAACCATCCTGATGGGCGATCGCATGGTGGTACAGCTGTTATCATTCGGAATAACCTAAAACACTACCTGCATAATAAAATTGAAGAAAAATACCTGCAAGCTACAACAGTTACTGTTATGGATTGTAAAGGAACATTAAACATTAGTGCCATATATTGTCCACCAAATGAAAAAATCAGCGATAAAATATTTGCTACCTATTTCAAGACATTGGGTCCTAGATTTGTGTGTGGAGGTGATTGGAACTCAAAGCATACATTCTGGGGGTCTAGACTGAGTACAACAAGAGGAAGACACCTAAAAACTTGTGTTGATAGATTGAAACTACATCCAATGTCAGCCGGTGAACCAACTTACTGGCCAACTGATATCAATAAGACACCTGATTTGCTTGATTTTTATATAGTGAAAGGATTGTCCAATCTATATACCGTTGTGGAATCATGCCTTGATGGCTCCTCTGATCATACTCCAGTAATAGCTACAATCAGTACTGTCATATTAAAGAGAAAAAGACCCATAACCCTGTATAATGAAAGAACAGATTGGGACGCATTTGCTGATTATCTGGAGAATAGAATTGATCTGAAGATTAATCTAAAAACTGAAGAAGATCTAGATGATGCGACATTTTATATAACCAACCTAATACAAGAAGCAGCATGGCGTTCATCCCCAGACCTGGAGGAAAAAGATCGGGCACCTTACATAACAGTAGAGATACGGGAAAAAATTTGTGAAAAAGAAGACTACGTAGAAAGTGGCACCAAAGTAGGAATATGTTTGATAAAAAAGCCTATAATAGATCAGCGAAAGAACTTACGTTGATGATTGATTTGCATGTGAACAATACACTGGATAACAAGCTTAAAAGTTTATCTTCCACAAAAAAGGATGATTATTCATTGTGGAAAGTAACAAAAAATTTAAAAAGACCAATTCAACACATACCACCACTTAAAACAAAATCTAATACGTGGGCCCAAACAGACGAAGAAAAGGTTCAATTATTTGCTGAACACTTAAAGGAAGTCTTCACTGCAAACCAGTCAGATATGATAGGATTTGAGGAAGAAATAGATAGGGTCTTGAATAGTGATCAACAACTTTCTCCTATGTTGAAACTTGTCACACCTAGGGAAACAGCGGGATATATACGCTATCTAAAAAATAAAAAGGCACCAGGCTACGACTTGATAACAGGAGAAGTGCTCAATAAACTGCCCAGAAAGGCTGTGGTATTCTTGACTATGATATTTAACGCTATCTTTAGATTGCATTACTATCCTGCGCTCTGGAAAGTATCACAGATGTGCATGGTTCGGAAACCTGAAAAAAGTCCCAACGAAGTTACATCATATAGACCAATAAGTCTCTTGCCTACAATGTCAAAAGTCTTTGAAAAAATATTACTTAATAGATTGAGACCAGTTCTAAATGAGAACAAAATCATACCTAATCATCAGTTTGGATTTAAAGAAAAACACTCAACAATTGAACAGGTGCATAGAGTTATACAAAAAGTGAGAGAATCGTTTGAAAAAAAAGAATATTGCTCTGCTGTATTCCTCGATATAAAACAAGCTTTTGATAAAGTATGGCACAAGGGGTTGTTATATAAACTTAAAACACAACTACCTAATTCATTTTATATGATTTTGAAGTCTTATCTTGCAGATAGAATATTCCAAGTTAAATCTGGTGAAGCTTATTCAAAATTCTACAATTTATGTGCGTCGGTCCCGCAAGGGTCCGTTCTTGGACCTGTACTATATTCAATATATACGGCGGACTTACCTATGACAAACGATATAACAATAGCAACTTACGCTGATGACACAGCATGCTTGGCAAGTGACACAGATCCCCATGTGGCATCACAGAAAATTCAAGCACAATTAGATCAAGTTGATTATTGGTTGGATAAATGGCGAATAAAATGTAGTACAGAGAAATCCCACCACATTACATTCACATTAAGAAAGGGAGATGCAACACCGGTGCAAATGAAGGGACAAAATCTACCAAAAGTAACAAGTGTTAAATATCTGGGAATGCACCTGGATAGAAGACTCACTTGGGCAAAACATATTAAGACTAAGAGAACTCAGGCAAACCTGGAATGCAAAAATCTATCATGGCTAATAGGAAGAAATTCAACACTATCATTAAACAACAAGATGCTTGTGTATAAATGCATAATAAAACCTATATGGACTTACGGGATCCAACTGTGGGGTTCTGCTAGTAATTCCAATATAGAGATTTTACAGAGATTTCAGAACATAATTTTAAGAAACATTACTAAATCTCCATGGTTTGTTAGAAACGAGGAGATACATAACTATATGCAAATTAATACTGTTAAAGAAGAGATAAGGATGAACAGCAAAAAATATAAACAGCGCCTTATAAATCATACGAATGACCTGGCTGGAGAATTACTAACAGCACAACAATCTACAAGACTGAGACGATGGCTTGTATTGAACCTTGACACTAGAGTTTGAAGAGCTCTACAAAATCATTCTGAGAGAGCTGTCAGTGGACTGCTTCTCAAAACGCTAATTTTCACACATGACTCTATCTGATTATGGCTGTTATGGAAGAGCCGATTGCAGATAACAAGAAAAAAAAAAAAAAAAAAAAAAAAAATTTCCACGTTGGATTGCCAGAGATATCCTTTGAGTCAGATACGAACCGGAACACGTAATTTAAGTCATTAAATAAATAGATAGATAAACATTTGATTTGATTCATTTATGACACAAGTAAATTAACAAATGAGTTAATATAATCAAATTAATTACATTTTTTTTTTAATATAAAACAAACGGTAAAATACGAAAATATGTTTTCGCCATGTGTCGCAGTGACCCAAATAGGCTACAGCTCAGTGATAGTTTTGCTTAAAAGTAAAGCGCTGATTGTCAGCTGCAGCCTGAAGTTAGGTTACACGGACGCGTGTTACGAACCCTCGAGACAAAGATAAAATTGTATTATATAGGTAAATACTTATATAAATAATGAATCAATACATATAATAAAATTGTAACTTTGTTTTATTTCAAATGGTTCGTAAATAAAAAAGTTATATCAATCTAAAGAACCACATATAAAATGCTATAAAATAACCGATTAGTTGAATTGGCTAAAACTTTTTTATTATATGTATTGATTTTCGAAAATTCTGTCCACTCGTGCGGAGTAAAGTTGGATCGCTAGTAAATAATATATTTGATTAATTAACTATATAAATAATACTAAATACCAACCTGTCTGCATGGTAAATATTATAAACGAAGAGGTCAAAATCCAGTTGGTGTCTTCCAAGTCGATTTCGAAGTTTTCCTGTAGGTTCACTGTTGTATTTGTAAAGTTTGGGGACCTCAGTCCCGTATGCGGGTATAAAGTTTCGTTTGCCTCCATTTTTTTCTTATAATTGATTAAAAAAAGTATGCTTTATTTTTTTTTTTAGTAAAACCATTAAGATTACGTATTCATGTTGACAGTTCTTTATTTAAAATTTGTAATTAATAAAACTTTATTTAATGTTTTTCTTCTTTTTTTTTATTCTTAATTTAAATTATTTTGATTACGTATGTCTTGGATGTTAATTATTCAATTAAGTCACTGTTTTTCACTAAATTATACAAGTAATTTATTTTACATATTTTTTAATTAAAAAATTACTATTTATTTATATTCAAATTACTTATATTAAAACTGCACGTTCACTGTAATCGTATTTTAAATATGGCAACACAGTAATATATTTTTTTATTCAAAAAAAGAAAATTAACCGTTTTCATCGACAATCGGATTTGAAATGAAGCGCGTCGTTCTGTTTTAAACTGTTTTATATGTACTTTATGTTGCCACTTAGTTGCCGCGTGACAAATATACGAGTGTACGAAATAATTCCTATAGAATTATTATTGTTTACTAAATTTGAGGATGGTCATGTAAAAATTAACACATTATACATGGAGCTTGTATGAATTAAATTTTTGCCTATTATTTTTTGTTTTGTTCAATTTGGAACGGCAAACAAGCTGCCGGCCTACCTGATGGAAAGTTTAAAATTGCCTATAGATATGGACAGCGTCGTGTCGGATTTTGTCATTCTATAGGGCCACAAAGTACATAGAAATAAAATAATAATTGAGGTGTTTTTTTTAATGGATGATAATGGAATGGTTATCTCGCCTGCGCTTACGGTATACTCAGGCGGGGCACCAGTGAAGGATGATTGGTGAGAATGAATAATCAGATCAGTTACTTTAACACAGTCTGCTGGGGGAAAGGGATTGTTAGTAATGGAGACTAAAAATTCCATTGCTAGCAATATACCCAACCAGGTCGACCTCCTCGTGGTTTCCCCTGGAAACTATCATGGTTAATTCCTGATGAATTCATCATGATGGGCTAACTGGCCTGTTTTCATTCTCATCGATCACCCTTCACTGGTGCTCCGCCAGCATATCCCATTAGCGCAGGCGGGGTTGCCATTCCATTTTCAACCACAAAAAAAAAAACACAGTCTGCTATCGTCGTTTAGTAGGTAATAGTACAAATTAAAAACCGATTAATTGAAATGGATAAAAACTCTTTATTGTTACCTTCAAAGAATGATACAGAAGGGATACACAAAAAAAAAAAATACAAACAGTAACATAAAAGTAAGATGAAGAGGCAATAATTGGCGGCCTTATTGCTAAATAGCAATTATTTTCGTGCTACTTTAGGATTGAGAGTTTTTATGTTTCTATTTGTTACTGTAGTGAGTGTTGAGTGTTTCTGCCGCCTCCCAGCTCGATTCCATGATTGTATACTCTTTCAACTTGTTAAAACTTAATATTTTAAGAGTGTCCATGTTTTTTTGTTGATTTATATTTTTTAAAAAACGTTTTCTTTGGCCCGTAACCCCAAGAACTCACTAAAGTGTTTCTGTTGTAATTTCAACAAAACTTGATATTATTTTGTTTTTTTAATGTGGTCAAATTGAGAATGGCTTATTTATTTATTTATTCATTAGTACAAATATGTGTACATGGCGGACTTAATGCTAAAAGCATTTTCTCCCAGTCAACCATAGGGAAGTGTCAGAATACTCGAATGCGGTACTAGTAATTATTGATACACATACATACTAAAATTACATATATAAACTAATAAATATATATAAATAACAAATATACTTACACATATATGACATATACTATATTGTACACGAAATTGAGAATAATATAAAGCACTTACTGCTCGGATAAAGATAAAAAGTGAGCGTGAATATTTTTTTTTGAAAGACGGTTTAGTCGGTAGTCTCTTAATGGCATCAGGAAGCGCATTCCAGTCGTGAAGAATGTAGGAGAAAAGAGTTTCAAGCGAAACCAGTACGGTGAGAGGGGAAAGATGTGTCAAACGTGACCATAATAAATTCATTTATTACAATATATGTTATGGTCGAATTTCGACCACGCAGCGACCAATAGTTATTATTAATTCAGCACTAAACCTACAGTTCATTATTCTCAACTTTTTACGTACATACATATCTGTCACGCCTGTCTCCCATTAGGGTAGGCAAAAACAAAGGAACGCCAAATGCTTCGATTCCATTTTTTCTGTATGATTTATATACTTGTATCTTTAAAGTATACCTACTTTATCATCTTACAAGTCACTTACGATAATTTATTTGCGTAAATCTTTACCTGTAACGTTTACAAACTGTGTCAATGTTATATTATTTTTTTACGCAACGTAGAATGGCAAATAAGCTGACGGCCCATCTGGTGGAGAGTAGTATCCGTCGCCTATAGGCGTAAAAAGCACTATGGATATCAGACAGAAAATGGGAATGAGATAGAGGTGCATAAGCAGACGTCTTTTGGAAAAATCTTCCTTTAGAAAATTCTAAAATCCGTTATTGGCTGTATTCATAAGAGACTTAGCATGTAAGTTATGTTTTTAAGAGCTGTGGATTTTTGTATAAAATAAATAAATAAATTAGAGTTTCTAGCAATATAGGGTGTGTTAATCCTTTGCACGGGGGAAGGGATAATTAGTAATGCGGACTACCAGTCCCATTGCTAACAATATACCCTGTCAGGTTGAACTCCACGTCATCACCCCCGGAATCCATCGCGCTGAATTCCAGGTGTATTCATCATGATGGGCTAATTAGCTTGCTTTTCATCTTCACCTATTATCCCTCACTGGTGGTACTCCGTTGTCGGTTCCCTTCTCGTAATATGACACATGTACCCTCCAAAGTAACCATGCTCGGATATTACTTGTGTCAGCCAATAGGTCAGTGAGTCTTGACGCAGTTTGCCCATTTATAATTTTTCGCCAATAATGCCTTCGTTAAGCAATACAACCTAAAATTGCTTCGTCAATGTTCAGAGGAATATCAATACATAATATGGGGGGGGGGCATTGCTAGCAATATACCTCAATATAGCTCAGGTTGTCTCCACATGGTCTCCCCTGGAAACTATCATACTGAATTTCAGGTGTATTCACGCCAGCGTATACCGTTAGTGCAGGCGGGGTAACCATTCTATTATGATGCATTAAGAAAAAAAGATATACCATATGGGTAGCCATTTTTGAGGATTAAAGTGTTATTCCTCCATATTCTGTAGTTTGACCATAATTTTTTGCTTTTAAAATAGAAACAAAAAAACTACGACAGCCTGCAGACCGGAGATTAGTTTAGCCTAGATGGCGCTGAGTAATATATCCAGCGATTTAGTTATTAAATTATTCAATTTCACTAAACGTGACTCCCGTAAACATTACCATGGACACAAAACAATAAAATAAAACAATACTGTAAAAATAAATAAATGTTTTGTCACGATGTTGTTTTAAGCAGTAACATAATTGTGATTGATTACTCTCTTACAAAGTATGTTTTACTTCAAATAAAAAGAGACTTGAAATGTAAATACACATACCTACAAAAACACACTTGCACTGATAAAAAAGATAGCCAGTCGTATACATTGCGGAGAGAAGAGTTTATTAATAAGGGAGATTAATTAATGATAACGAAATGGCAACCCCGTCTGCGCTAATGGTAGGTACTACTGGTGCACCGCCAGTGTAGGCGGGGCACCAGTGGAAGATGATAGATGAAGATGTAAAAGCAGGTCAGTTAGCCCATCGTGATGAAAACATCTGGAATTCAGCACGATGGTTTCCAGGGTGAACCGCGTGGAGATCGACCTGTCAGGGTATATTGTTAGTAATGGGACTGGTAGTCCGCATTACTAATAACCTCCCAAATTTTATCAAAATCGGTTTATTAGTTTAGTTTTTAAATCAAAATAAATATATTTTTTTTAACCGACTTCAAAAAGAAGGAGGTTCTTAATTTGGTCGCATTTTTTGTTTGTTACCTCATAACTCCGTCAGTTGTATACCTATCAAATTGGAAAATTCTTTTTTTTTAATCTGAATTAAAAAAAACCCTTAGAAATTTTATCAAAATTGGTTCAATAGTTTAGTTTTTAAATAAAAATAACTTGTTTTTTCACGAAGGAAGTCGGTTTTCTTATGGAATACAGTCTTAATTATCACCAGAGGGAGACTTTGTACAAAAGTCGATTGCTTGGGTACCTCTGGCCCATTCGTGTTTCTACCGTGAAGCAGTTGTGTTTGCATGGCTGTCTTTCGGTTTAAAGGGTGGAATATGGCAGTGAATCTACAGTGTACAAAGGCATAACACCTTAGTCCTCAGGAATGGCAACGCATGGAGGTATCATGGGCTTCACGACACACTCTGTTATGTTCTTGGTACTGCTCATTCTATAGGCGACGGTTCCCGCTTTCCATCAAGTAGGCCATCAGCTTGTTTGTCATTCTAAGTTGTATAAAAAAAATAGCTTAAATGAAATTTAATTTCACACTGTGATTTGTGCTTCAGTTAATTAACAAGTTAATAGCAAGTGTTAAATCAAACAGTGTGACCAGTTTGTACCAACTACCAATTAGCATTTTCATATCATTTTTCGCACAATTTCAGTTCAGACTATAATAATGGTGGTTATAAGTGGATCCAATATGAAATTTATTCATCACGATTACACAAATATTAAGATCAATTTCGTAATGTTATCGTGGAAATTTCCCTACCTATTTAGTTATAGGCAATTGACATCAACTTTGTCAACAAAATAGGTGATAATTACATATATATTAAAATAGTTACATCATCTATCTGTAAAAATAGAAATTTCTACATAGTGTAATAGTATTATTATATTTATATGCATCTGTATTTTTGGTGAATTAATTATTATTATTAATACCCAAATATAAAATAATAACAATTAGAAACAATGTTAGCAAAGGCGAACTTATCTCTAAAAGATATATATATATATATATATATATATATATATATATATATATATATATATAAAGTAAAAACCTTCCACACGGTAACTGACCCATACCACTGCTAGCAATACACCCTATCAGGTCGACCTCTACGCGGTTTCTCCTGGA